CATATTTACGTTTTGTGTGATCAATTTGCCCTCGAATTACGGTATTCAATTTAGAATTGCATTTATCCTATTTGATGCAATGCTACATAAAAACAGTACAAATCAGTAAAAAGAATTATAAACATCCACGAAGCGTTGGGACTTACATTTAGGGAATTACATTGCATTGGATGTTAAGCAAACAAAAAGAACTCAGCCATTCATCATTTTGCTATCGATGTCCTCAATGACCTTCATTTGCAGTTAATCAAAGCTAATTTGCTGCAAGATCTTTTACCTCAACTCAACAATTTGTGACCAACAAGCTCAGCTGGCAGACCAACATATAAACTTAAGGTTCCACAAAGGGTAAGTAATTTGTTTACTTCTTCTTTTTGAAACATTCTTCGATCATCATTTTCTAAATGTAATGGTAAAATTCATTGGAATTGCAAGTCACCACGCCAAAACTGTCCATGTTAATATTAATATCCTTTGTATTTTTCTTCCTTCATTTCAATACACACATAAGTGCATAAGAATGTCGAAGACAAGACATCCACATTGCCAGACCGCGCTGTATGAAATTATGTTTACACACCCCTGTATGATCTCGTGTTTGTTTCAGTTACCGTGGGGAAGTAATTTGTGATTAGCCCCGGTCCCTTTCAAATTGTATCATTATTTATGTACGGTCCATATATTTGAAGTGACGTCAGCGTTGCCAGATATACCGATTTATCGGTATTTATACCGATTTCCGAACTAGATACCGATATACAGATAAGGTTCCTCAGAATACCGATTTTATACCGATTTATACCGATTTTATTAAATAATTAAAATGATTGTTGCTTTTAGACAGTTCCATTAGTTTCAGGAGAATTGAGAGAACTTTAGGAAGCTCCGAGAACATCAGGACAGATCAATAAATTTCAAGGAAATCGCTGAATTTTTAAGGGAGTTTCCGAAAACTTCAGCAATGTTCCGAGGTGCTCATGCAAATTTAAGAAACGTAAGGGAAGTTACATGAACATTAGCACATTGTGAGAATATTTTATGGGAAGTTCCGTGCTTATTAATGACAGTGTTGATAACTTTTAAAAATTAGAAAAATCAGGAATATCAGAGAACTTCAATGCTGATGTTACAATAAATTCAAGAAAATTGTGAGAGTGCTTAAGATATTTTGTAATATTCAAGAAAGTCTAGAGACTTTCAAAGTTGATTAGAGATATTTCGGTAGTCGCATTATAATCAGGGAAGTTCCATTGAAATTTTTTTTTGGATCATTAGAACATCCCTCAAGAGCTCTTTCTTCCGGAATTATGTTCTTGTTTCTTCCGACTGTACCGTTAGTGCTCTGGCTTCCGACTTCCTCCACATTTTGTTCCCAATCTACCTTAGGAAGTTTCTTCCGTCTTCTGCAGGAAGTTCAATTAAACTTCTCCCAGAAATTTCTTTCGTCTAGTTCTGGAATTTTGTACAGTTGGATTTTTTTTACTTCAATTGGAAGGTTTTTCGCAGCTCCTTCTGGCTTCCCCTGGAAATGGCTACTTCTGGAATTTATTTCCGATTTCCAAAACTTTTTTGCCTTCCTTTGAATGTGAAATCCGATTTTTTTTCTGATTGTTTCTTTAAATTTTCACTAGAAGTTTTTCTATTTATGTCTTGGATGTTTCGCGGATGATTTTAGATTTTTCTTCAAATTTCCTCCAGGGGAGCTTCTTTCTTCTTTCTCTGGATGTTGTTGTCAACTTCCTCCAGAACCTAATTCAAACATTCCCCGGAGTCTTCTTCCAAAAGTTTTCGATCATAGTCCAAAAGATAAAAAATTTCGCTTTCAAAATCGGCAAAAATTTAAAATTAATTAAAATAGTAAATACCGATAAGTACCGATTTTTTAAAACCTTTGATACCGATAAGCTTTAAAACATTCTGGCAACGTGACGTTTCACATTCATATAGTGATGGCCGATTTTCATTCGAATAATCAATAAATCGATTAACGAACCGAAAAGTAAAACATTTGTAATCCGTTATATAATGTCGATATAAGCCTCGATATAAGCATTAACTTCTCCAGAGGATCATCACCGATCGTTTCAAACATGTGCTGCACTCTCATTGGTGGAAAAATGGCAGCACAGCGAACAAAAAATAATCGATTAGTTGTTAATCGAGTAATTAAAAAATGGGACATCTCTGATTTTGGTGTGATTGTTTTGATAAAAAAAAAGTGCAGCAAAACCACTAAATTACCTTGCATTCATTGGATGAAAGGGACCGTGGAAGAGGACACTAAAATAGAAAGTTTTTCTTCCGACAGTTTCATCTTAGTATTCTTATTTGATCTTATCAACAATCAATTACGAAACTAACGATTTTAAATTGGCTCACCCCTTTAGTAGCCTATTGGTCCCAAGCAAACGATTAATGTACCCTATTCTAGTTGAAATTCTATGACTACACTATGTTTGTTTTGATTCGCTATGAAAGTTTGACAGATAACATCAGGGGTGTGTGGATTCATGCAGAACATGCAGGGGTGAGTGAAATAGCTTGGGACTGCTTGGGACCGTTGTTCTGGTACTGAGTGAGCCAAAAATAAGGGACCCAGTGGTCTTAGAGTTACCTCTATGATCTTATTGTGATTCGTCGTAAATATAATTTGAGCTCACTTGAGGTTCAGAAATAGTTTGTTCATAGTTAAGAATCTTGAAGAATGACTTAGGTTTGCATTCTAATGAATTAATCTATTTAAAAACCTCGAAATCCTGAATCGTGATTTTTTTAGTGATTTGTATCTTTTCTAAAAGTCTAAAAATACAAAAAACAAGTCCCGGTAATGAGAGACAAACCTTAAAATAAAAAAAATGAAACAATCACATTTTCGTAAAATTTGAATTTTTATGTCCGAGAGTACGAAAATCTTCTTATTTTTTATGAAAAATAAGCATTGAAATTTTATTAAGTATTAGTTATAAAATGTTATGCTCGATGTTTCATTTTCTCACATTCTTCTAATCAAAACAAATTTCTACTTTATCTAATCATTTTGGCAGATTAATATGATACTGAATTCGCTAGCTGTTGCTCGAACCTATATACCTAAGTGTACTACGTATTTTTTTGTGAAAAACTTTGGGATGGCTTCATCTGTATTTCTCTATTTGCAATCGTGCTCATATGTTTTATCAACTTTATTGTATTTTGTCACAACACATAACCACAGACAAACAGACATAACTCATTGAATATTTCTCACTATAAAACATCGTCGCTAAAACATTACCGACATCTGTTGAGTGCACTGTGGTGGGCACTACACTGAACAGATGGCGGTAGTGTGTAAACGTCAAACGCAAGGAAATTGACTATGCGCGCCACAGGTGGCGGTACTACCAACTACGATACTTTTAAATTGTCCGTTAAATGCTTGTTCGATGAACAACTTACGAGTGTTATGTCTGTTTGTCTGTGACATAACTTTTATTTGGATGTTTAGTAGAATTGCATAAAATATGCTTTATTTCTGATATTACGCTAGTCAAATGTCAAAATATCCAGTTAACTGTTCGACTCACAAACTGTAATCAATCAGCTTGTGAGTGGTTAAAACGGCTTGTTTACCGATTCAACAAATAAAAAAATATATATAATCATAGTACCTGTCACCATGTGATATGGTTAATCAAACAATAAGAATGAAAAACTAACATCCCTTCTAACGAGCAATCAGAAATCAGAACATCTGAGTATGAGACGTCCGTTCAAAATTAACGAAGATAATAAAATATCAATGTCCGTCCACTAGCGGTCCTACGCTCGGTCCTACGTCAAGCTTCCGTTCGTGCCCTTAGGCACAGACCCTTCTACTTTTATAACTTGAACAGTCCTTACTCAAATCAATCACTCCACAATTACGAATAAGCTGATCATGTGGAAATGAGCCATAGGTGTAGGGTGACTGTAACATGATCTTAGCTATTAAACTCGTAAAAAATGGGACCACAAGAATCATGCTTAAAATGATTTAATGTTAATACAGGTGAATGTAATTAAGCATTTAACGAACATTTATGGACAGTGATAAACAATTCAGTGCCAACATTTCAAAGGGGCGTAATTGCTTTTGTAAACAATGGCTTTAGCCGTCAATTTTTCGCGAATGAGATCTCACCCCTCCAAAATATCAATGCTAGCTGGTAGAAGAAACATTCCTCTACCTGTTGGTGTTATTATTTTTCATGGGTGAGCTTTTATTCGCGAGAAATCGATGGCCAAAGCTATTGTTTACAAATGCAATTACGCCCCTTTGAAATGTTGGCACTGAATTTCTAACTGCAGAATAAGGTAATATCTTAATCGAGGTAGAATCACATATTCTACGGATGTTGAGTTCCAAATGACACGCACTCAAACATTAATCTCTTCGGAAACATTCACAAATGACGTAGCATTTGAGGGGGAGGGAGGGTTTCAGAAGTTGTAACCGGTCGAGATGGTTTTACCACAGGTGGGCAGGAGCTCACTGTCTCCCAGTGTTGGTGAGTTCTTTGCCGTTAATGTTCACGAAAAGTCATACAGTAATTCAAAATAAAACATTTTATGGGCGGATTTGGACAGTTTTTGACCTGTTTAATACGACTGGAAGGTGTATGCTTGTTCACAAATGCCGTGTCAGACTGATTTCCTACACAATTAAACAACCTTTGATGTGAATTTCGCTAATAAACACGAGCATTTTTTATAGCAAAACTTGCCATAACAAAATGGCATAGTTTATTTTAGTAAACAAACTAACATTTCTTCCTTGTGTGTCACCTTTGATGAAGCTCCTAGGTGACCGGTCATATATAAGGTATAGCAAAATACGCTAAGGGGGGAGAGATATTGAATTAGTCAAAAATACAGTACGTCATTTGTGGATGATCCCTTACATACAAATATGAATCAAGTGTGAAGCGCAAATAGCAACCAAAACAAAGGATCCATCAGCCAATGAACACCGACCTCTGACTGTGTGCTGGGTGCTGTACTCTATTTTTGTCACTATTGGAACGATCTTATTGGAAATACACCTGGTTGACATTGGATATCAGATGACCGAGGACAACAATCCGAGGCAATAGAAAGATTCCCGTATTGGTGCAGCTAAGGTGAAGCAGAATAGCAGGTAAGTACGTTCGTACGAATGTGCCTGAGAGGGAAACTTGCTACCCACAACAAAACAGCAAGTCCTGACCTCACGTACGCGAAGTAGTACACAGGTTCCTTATCGCTTACTCATTGTACACAAATGTACATGTAGATTTTTATTTCTCAACAGCAGCTGGTCTGCGTATCATTAATGCTACTCCTCCGAGATTCACTAATCCACACCAGCAAAGACCGGAGGCATCGCCATCGTCGGGAATAACACGGCGGCAGCAGTAATCGCCAAAGACTCGAACGCGTAACAACTCTTCGAACCAGCCAGCCACAGCGGAAAGTCTCTAGCAGTGGAAAAAAGCATAAGATGATTCAGTTTATTCGGTTCCGACGTTGACGACGAAAATATTATATTGTTCTGGCTACATCCGCGACACACGGCAAGAAAGTTGCGGTTCATAAATTTCGTTCGCGAGTCGCAAATATTGACCAACACTCGGTCGGCGGACGGATAACAGCAATATTTACGCTTGCTCTAATCCTAAACCAAACCGCCGCGCCGTGGAATTATGGCGTCGTCGGAAGGCGTGTGTCCGAGGCCGGACTCGTTTTCCCCCACTCGGATCACCATGCTGTGGAAGAACTATCTGAATGCCAGTAGCCTCGATTGCAGCGGGATTGCTGGTGATGAGCCACAGGACGACGACATCGGGACGGCCGCTGGTGGAAGCAAGGTAGGGATAAATTGCGTCTTGGTTTATTCCCATTCGCATTCCGATGGAATGACCTATAATGAGATCATCCGAATGGTTCAAGTTCAGCGTGCTTCCGTTTGAATAATTGTTTCCGTTGTTGGTTGTTTTTTTTTTGCTATCGATATTTCAGACTGCATGGTTGGAGGTGTTCCTATATGAGTTCGGGAAGCTGAACGACGACCAACGAGCATACTTTCAGCGATCAAAGTAAGTAGAGAGAGAGAGAGAGATGATGCATGCATCGTATACGTATTATATTACGCAAAGAAGTCAATCAAACGGCTTATCATTAATGAAAGTACGGGGCAACTACCGTTATCAGTGTGCGTTCTGGCGTGTCCTTATTTCATCACTAAGCAAAGCCTGCAATCGCCAGCAAGATGAAGAAGTTTGAATTTTACGACCGCCGTAATTTGATACCTCCGAGGTTGGACATATCTAAGAAACCGTTGCCACTTTTATGGGCTCCAGTATGTACAATGTATTCTAGTTCTGTTGCTGCTTCAAAATGTGAAAGTTTATCGGCACAGACAGAATGGTTTTGGAAATTAACCTCCCTCGAAGTAAATCACTTTCTTAGAGAGGTTCCTTTATCGGTGCCGAAAAAGTGTGACTCTCTGAACATAATTAAATAATTTTGTTAATGGAGCCTATCCGAGTAAAACCGGTTATCAAAATATTATCAAAATATTTTTTTCATATCTATAGTTTGTTTGTTTCGAAGGCTCAATCGTGTTAGCTTTACGGAGCCGATAATTAATTGTTCATTGTTTGTAACAAAATTCACTTATTTCTAGGATAGGGTAGAAGGAGGAGCTTGGGGGTGGGGTTTTAGATTCATCTCAAGCTCGACTGGCTATGGTGACCAGTGGGCGACGATGAGGCTCATCGAGACGGGGAGAGAAGACAAATTATCAAAATGATATCCAATCATGTTGATAATATATTTTGATACTGAGCAGTTTCACGCCAAATGACGAATCAACCAGACTCGACCTTCTCCGATTTGGTTGAAATTTATAGCCATTATTCACATTTTTGCAAAAATTCGGCCATTTCGGATTTTTTTTTTTCAAAATGGCGTCTGACATTTTTCAATAAATTGTAGTACGGCAACGTCACACAGAGACAAAGTACATGGTGTTTTATCTAGAATTCCTCTAATTTAATCGAATCTCACAACGGAATCTTCTGAATCTCATGAAGTTTGAAATGTCGCACGATAGGTTTTGGTTCTTGTTGAGAATTGGCCACCACTTTGGGGGCACCGGAATATTTCCGGGATGCCCAATGTGATCGTGGACCGTCGGTATAGCTGTCATTGGTCCAATTACATCATTTGAGAGAAGAAAAAAAACATGATTTTTTCCTTTGGTTTGTTTTTTCCGTCGATCTTGTTTTCCGTGCTGTGCACCAATGCTACCGACGTGCCAGGAAGGCAGCTCCCACACCTGGACCCTACCTATCGACCCATCAACTCATGAACCGGGGACCAACGGCTTTACTTCCCATCCGAAGGAAGGCGTGATCAGAGATGTTTTGCCTCAGAACATCCCGGCGGCGCCGACTGGGATTGAACCCAGGCCTGCTGGGGTGAGAGGTAATCACGCTTACCACTACACCACCGTTAAAAAAAAAACATGATGTTCATCGTGTGTATACTTATTACAGAACAGTAAAGCCGAATGCCGACCAAAAGGGACTCCAACGGAGCCGTTTTTAGAGGTAATTGATTTTTGAAATCTATGCAAATTTAGCCTGATAATCCTTCAAAGACTTCTGAAAATCTAGCACACACAAATACCCTTGAAAATTTTACAAGGTTTAAAATTTATGTTCGGGAAAAGGAGGTATATTTTCCCCGATTTGTAATCGAAATTTAAGACATTTCCCAGTATGTTTCCTGATGTTTTAAACAGATATGCATATTTTGTCACAACTACTGTAGACTTCTCAGTTCTTGCAAGGTCAGTAAGGCCTTGCTCAATCTCTAAAATTTGATGAGCGGTTGAGAGGGTTTCGGTGGTACGGTAACCATAGTACGGTGATTGAGGAAATGCTTCACCAAACCCGAGCGTCTGTTCACCATGGAGGTGCGGCTCAAAACGGCGTCTGTTCTCCATGTTAGGAGCGGCTGATCACCGTCCTAGTGTCAGTATGAGACTCTAAATAGAGCTGTGCACGATGGTCCTCCGGCGAGACAGGGGGTTGGGGCAGGCCCAACAAGCCGCCCTGGAAAAAAACATAAAGTTGCAAATACCGAAAAAAGAAATACGGATCGGAACAATCGGCACAGACCTACACGACGAAATAAGGACTACGATTGGAAACTCGGAACATGGAACTGCAAATCGCTTGGCTTCCCGGGCTGCGATAGGTTAATCTATGAAGAACTTCAATCACGCAACTTCGAAGTCGTAGCACTGCAGAAACTTTGCTGGACGGGACAAAAGGTATGGTAAAGGCGGGCATCGAGCGGCTACTTTCTACCAGAGCTGTAGCACCACCAACGAGCTGGGAACTGGCTTTGTAATGCTGAGTAAGATGCGCCAACGCGTGATTGGTTGGCAGCCGATTAACGCGAGGATGTGCAAGTTGAGGTATAAGGGCCGTTTCTTCAACTACAGCATCATCAACGCGAAGGGAGACCCGACGACGAAAAAGAAGCGGTCTATGCGCAGCTGGAGCAGGTGTACGACGGCTGTTCGCAACGGGACGTCAAAATCGTCATAGGCGAAATGAACATTCAGGTAGGACATGAGGCAATATATAGACCGGAAATCGGGCCAAGCAGCCTGCATGCCTTATCGAACGACAACGAAACGTGAACTTTGCAGCCTCTCGGGGTATGGTAGTTCGAAGTACCTTTTTCCCCCGCAAGGATATGCACAGAGCCACCTGGAGATCACCTGACTAACACACAGAAAACCAAATCGATCACGTTCTAATCGACGGGAAATACTTCTCCGATATTATCAACGTCCGCACGTACCGCAGTGCGAACATAGATTCGGACCACTACCTAGCTGCAGTATGCATGCGCTGAAAACTCTCGACGGTGCATAACACCCGTCGAAGTCGGACGCCGCGACCCAACATTGAGCAATTACGAGACGCCGGAGTTGCCCAGGACTACGCGCAGCAGCTGGAGGTTGCACTACCATCGGAAGAGCAGCTTGGCGCAGCTTCTCTTGAAGATGGCTGGAGTGATATCCGTTCCGACATAGGTAGTACTGCTGCAGCGGCACTCCCAAGTAACATTGCAGGTTGTATGGCGGTTTTATAGCATTCTACAAGTCTAAATCATGGTCTACAGAACCCTCATAAAACCAAAATTGTTACTTGGGCTAGGTACTGCGATCCCGGACCGAAGAAATGACTGGTTTGACGGCGAATGCAAACTGTTAGTAGAGGAGAAGAATGCAGCACGGGCGAGAATGCTGCAACACCCCGCAAGCCGATATGTGCAAGGACTTGGACGGTAACCTTCTCTCGAACGAGTGTGAGGTGATTGAGAGGTGGAAGCAGTACTATGACGGTGATACATACGAAGGTGGCACGGTAACAGACATTGGAGCACGCGCAGAAGATGACAGACAACCGGCCCCTGATCTTTAAGAAGTTGAGGAGGAGATCGGTCGGCTGAAGAACAACAAAGCAACTGGTGTAGATCAACTACCAAGTGAGCTATTAAAATACGGTGGTGAAGCACTGGCTAGAGCGCTGCACTGGGTAATTTCCAAGATTTGGGAGGAGGAGTGGATGGAAGGTGTCGTATGCCCAATCTTGTTCCGTTTATTGTAAGATGAAGCTTAGAATCTTACATTAGTAAAATAATAGTACAAAATGCAATTAAAATTGTACTCAGTGTAGTAACACGAATAATATAGCAAAAAGTCCAAACCCCTTCCTGGCTTGAAAACGTAAGCACATAAGCAATTCTCTTGCTCATCTCTCGTGTTTGACACCGTGGTGCGAGATCGTTTTCCGTTCGAGACTACATAAAATGAGGAGAACGCACGCACACGAACAACGACACCGTGACTGCCGGCTTGGAGAAGAAAAGCGGCAGTGAAAAAAAATCCTTATTGGTGGAACCACCATAGTGGCATCTGGCACACCAGGTAGAAAAGTTCCGGTACGAGTGCAGAGTGCCGACAAAGTAGACGGGTGGACAGTACAGCCAGCCAAACCACTTCCACCGCTAACCGCCCGTAGAAGACGTGCAGACGTACTGGTTACGAAACGGACTCTTGGTCAGGAGTTCAGCGTAGTCGAAGGCACTTTTCAAATTGGCTTGAGCCAGGAACAGTGATCAACCGGTAGCTACACGGACCGCACGGAAAACGACTGAATTGGAACGAGAGGGGCGCTTTATTTTGCCACGGTCTCAAGATTCGGGAAGTGCGGGAAGGCCGGCTGACGTCGACGGAGTTGGACCACTCGATGGTCAAAGACGGTAGTACGACGAGGACCGACTACGGAGCTCCGTGTGACGGCAAGCGATTGGACCGCTCGACGGTCAAAGACGGAGGTGAGACGAGGACCAACTACGGAGGCCCGTGTGACGGCGAGCGTTGGGAGTGACCAACAGGACGTCAGTCTCAGACGGAAGCGTACGACGATCGTTCGTCGAGTTGGCGACCAGACGACGGCGGGAAGCTAGTCAATCGCGAGCCCCGAGGACATGCAGTGAGCCCCTTAGCGACAACATCGATGGCGTGCAGGAGAAGAATGCTGTGAGTACGTTCCTATATACGTGGTAGGCGGAAGCTTTGCGACGCCAAAGAAAGGAAAAGAGAAGAGTTATGTTGTTTGGCAAGCATTAGACAGGACCAGGAAGAGTAATAAGAGTAGGAGAGAGAGAGAGAGAGGAGCAGGAGCTAGGAGGGGAGAATATGTGGGCAATGAGAATACACGTTTGTTGACAAATTATGTTCTCATGATTTTGTTTGATTTGTTGGTGCACATTGGTCAGCCCTATGGTAGTTCTGCTCTACCGCTACCGGGGAACCGTAACAATCTACAAAAAGGGCGACAAGTTGGATTGCTGCAACTACCGCGCGATCACACTGCTGAGCGCCGCCTACAAGGTACTCTCCCAAATTCTATGCCGCCGTCTGTCACCATATGCAAGAGAGTTCGTGGGTCAATACCAGGCGGGATTCATGGGTGCCCGCGCTACCACGGACCAAATTTTCGCGATTCGGCATCTGTTCATCGGCATTTGTTCATCGATTTCAAATCCGCATACGACACAATCGATCGAGATCAGCTATGGCAGATTATGCACGAGTACGGATTTCCGGATAAACTGACGCGATTGGTCAAGGCGACGATGGATCGAGTGTTGTGCGTTGTTCGAGTATCGGGCACACTCTCGGGTCCCTTTGAATCTCGAAGGGGGCTACGGCAAGGTGATGGACTTTCGTGTCTGGTCTGCTATTCAACATCGCGTTAGAAGGTGTGATCAGAAGAGCAGGGATAGACACGAGTGGCACGATCTTCAGGAAGTACATCGAGCTTCTGGGCTTTGCCGATGACATGGACATACATCAGACTGAATGCTAGGCGGATTGGACTTGCCATCAACGCATCAAAGACAAAATACATGAAAGGAAGAGGTTCTAGGGAAGACAATGTTAGCCTCCCACCCCGAGCTCAGATTGACGGTGACGAAACCGAGGTGGTCGATGAGTTCGTGTATTTGGGCTCACTGGTGACCGCCGAAAATGATACCAGCAGAGAAATTCAAAGACGCATTATGGCAGGGAATCGTGCCTACTTTGGACGCCGCCGCACAAAGTTGACTGTCTACAAGACGCTGATTAGACCGGTGGTCCTCTACGGCCACGAGACCTGGACTATGCTATGGCGTTTTCGAACGGAAGGTGTTGCGTACCATCTACGGTGGAGTGCAGAAGGATGACGGAACGTGGAGGAGGCGAATGAACCACGAATTGCACCAGCTGCTGGGAGAACCAACCATCCATTGCAAAAATTGGGCGACTACGGTGGGCTGGGCACGTCTTAAGAATGTCGCACGACGACCCAGTGAAAATGGTTCTAGAAAGCGACCCAACAGGAACAAGAAGAAGAGGCGCGCAGCGGGCAAGGTGGATCGACCAAGTAGAAGGCGACCTGCGGATCCTTCGCAGACTACGAGGCTGGTGAAGTGTGGCCATGGATCGAGTAGAGCGGAGACGACTTCTTCGGACAGCAGAGGACAACAAGGCCTTAGCCTGATTGGTAAGGTAAGTAAGGGTTTCGGTGGGGTCAACGGTTCCCGCATGATGACACTTAGCAACTTGCTGTTCGTCAAGAGCCCATGGGCGTGCAGATGAGCAACAACAACCACAGGGTCCTGCCTGCAGTAGAACCAACAATCAATACGAAACTATCGATCTTAAGTCGATACTCTAACGAAGCCTTAGCGTGAAACTTCAAAGGCACAAATGTCAGCTTCCACAAAACATACAAATTTGAAATTGCTACTCTCTGTTTGTAGTAGCACAGCAAACAAGGAGTAGCAATTTCAAATTTGTATGTTTTGTGGAAGCTGACATTTGTGCCTTTAAAGTTTCACGCTATGGCTTCCTTAGAGTATCACCTTAAATTGGCTCACTACTTGACTAGTCTATTGGTCACAAGTAAATCGATTAACTTACCCCATTCCAGTCGAAATTCTAGTACTGCACTATGTTTGTTTTGATTTGCTATGAAAGTTTGACAGATAAAATGAGGGGTTCGTGGATTTTCCTATGTTCCGAGGGGTGCATCGATTAGCTTGGGACCGAATATAGTACCAGAGCTGGGCCAAAAAGTTGAGCATGCTTCTTCTAGACCTTCTGGTCTTAGAGTTACCTCTATGGTAGAACTGCAGATGCGACGCTTATCTGGATCACAAACCGTTCCCGAAGTATGACTGATCTGGAGTAGGAGTGATGTCTTCGATGTCACACGAGTTGATCAGACGACCTGGTTCGACGATGCTGGAATTGAACTTTCGCCCATTCCAATTTGTTTTGATTTTGTCGGGGAGTATTTAACAGGCAGCTGGAGGAAATTTCGTCCACCATCAATCAGGCTACACCTTCGTTTCTGTTTCTTTTGGACGGGTTGAATTTACTGGAACACCGTATCTATCCAACCCATCGAGTTCCTCTTCCAATGCCCGGAGTGGAGCGCTCACGTTCAAATGAGGAGGTTTGCCAGAAACCATAAAAAGAAATTGAAAATTAAAACAATCACAAAAGTCATTATATGACTTCAGGGTTGCCAAACTCATGGGATATTGACATCTTGATTTGTACACTTCGGCCTTCTTCACTACGTTCGGCACAGCTAAATCTCGCGGCACAGATTAGTGTGTACCAAAAAAAAAAAGTTTTTATTTTTCTAAAAATATTGGAAGAAGATTTCGAAAATCAAAAAAATCGTCAATTTTCTCATCACATTCTAAAGAAAATTTAGGTGTAAAAACATTTTTTTTCTCAAAAAACCGACATCATCCAATATTTGATGATGATGATTTCATGATGAGATAGAAAAAGTATGTAAATTCTTCCACGAATCGACAGAAGAAAACTAATTTTCTAAGATTTTTTTATATCAAAACAAACCTAGATTATTTTTTTCGTGGTCATCTTCCCGTTTAAGCATTATGCATTAAGATTATGTAATTAATTCTGTTTTGGTCAAAATTGTGGAATTTTATTCGAGTTCCATTCTTATCCCACTTTTCCCTAAAGTGCTTTTTGGATTTGTCTAAAGCTTCTGAATGTTTTGGTATTATTATACAGGGTATCGACACAAAGCGAGTAATGGCGCTATAGCCATAAGCCATAAAAGGCTAGGACAAGTGTTAGTGCTCATGTCCCAATCGTCAGAAGAAAATAGAGCATCACTTAACCTTTCTAGCTTTGATGCTTCCAGCGACCAACCAATCATATAATTACCAAAATCAGAACGTACGGTACGAGATATCCACATTTCTTCCATTTATTGGATTCTGAAGCATCGTGTTTAAATCTTCGATTTAAACAGGCCCGATATTTTCTGAATCATCTTGCCCCTTAAATGCTGCACAGTAGACCTGGCCGTTTTGATATTTGTGACGCATCTTCGATGTGAAATATATATCAAATTGACAAAGAAAATTATGGAGGTATATCTATCATTTTCCAGGATGCTTTCAAGAACTGGCTGTTGGTGTTTGATTAGATTAGATTAGATTATTATACAGGGTATCGACACTCAGGGAATCTCAGGGAAGTTCCTTTAAAATCAGCAAAATATTTTGCAATAGTTTCTCGGACTTTGCGTTGAAAAACCGTCGAACGAAAGCCTAACTTCCATGGTGAGCCTGAACTCTATAATAATAATAATAATAATAATAGTAATATATTCTAACTACTGGTCCATATTTACTACCTAAGTAACCCTAAGTACTTAAGTAAAAATCGAGATATAAGGTCGGAAAGAGCTTTAGGTGGGTAAACGTCCCGGGGTAAACCTTCCATTCGAACGATCGTCCACAATATAAATGTAAATCTGTTTGTTCGGACCACTGCACACGTTACAATTTAGTTACGCGACCCACTTTCCATGATGTAATGCACCGTGAAAGTGAACGTTCCCAGTCTTTCGGCACGTAGAAACCAATGTGTTTAGAAACTGATAAGCTACCACCGTACACTCATCTTCCGATTTCTTTCACTGAGTAAACAAAGCTGTATCTCTTCCTGCATCCTAAACAGCATCTCGGAAACCATATCATCGGTCTTATCACACCAATTGCTACTATTTATCTACGAGATCTGCGATTCGTCGAAAGGCATCCCGGAGGAAGCACGTAAACGTGCCTCGTCCATCACGTCGTCCCTCTCGTCGGCGTCCACGTACATGACGGCCCGAAGCGGGACGACTGATTGCACTACTGGCACTACAGGCACTGCTGCAGACGACACCACACAAACACTTCTCGGTGGCACCGCAGCAGATCTGCTACTGCTTGCTGATCAGAACGATAACAAGGTAAGTACATGAGTATTTGTGCAGGAACAAGACGCCCTGTGTTAAATACCTGTACATGTGGCCCACATTCGATATCTTATCGTCGTGGATGCTGGACGTAATATCACTCACTTTCCATCGCTTACTTCCGTAGATCGAAACCGATCCGTTTGATGAGACCGGTGAGGATCGCTGTCACGTTTTGAGGGAATTCCTGCTGGAAGGCGTCGGAGGACGAATTTTGAAGATCCTTGACCAAATTGGTGCCAAAGTAAGTTTTATCAACTACGCAATTACGTTCTAAACATTGTGTTCCCTTTTTTGCAGGATATCGTAAACGCAAGGGAATTCGCAGAGGTATTAATTCAAATTTTACCCACCCGGAAACGGGTCATTACGTATCAGACGGATCTAGAATATCTAATTGAATACAACCTACAACTGCTGAAAGTGTTTAAAATGCGCACCGGCAACAGTGACTGGCGAAGAGGCGCAAAGCGCAATTCGCTAAACCTAAGTTCGTCGCAAATTATCGAATGTTCAAGTCCGATGCAAGCATCTTCACCTCCGGCCATCTGCCGAAAGTTCTCGTTCTCACCTGTACCAGAGCACAAAACTCAAACGACTGCTGAAAATCAACCGCAGCCCACGAACCTCGCAGATTACCACACCGAACCGTTCAACGCACATCTGCGTGCCGCCTTAAGTCAGGATCGCCTTACCTTGATCGTACTTAATCTACTCGAAAGTTTGGTCATCCATGAAAACATTTTCATGATCGACGAAAAGTCCGTAACCATCAGTTGCCTAAGGATGACCATCGAACGGCTGCGTCGGCAGGAAGTCTTGGAGGAGAACCCTCGCAACCGGCTGATCCTCAGACACAAACTGCTGGGAATACTGATGCTCAGTTTGAACAACCTGTTCTTCCTCGACACGCTGGAAAGCGATCACGTTAGCTTGAAGCAGATCGCATCCGAAGTCATGGAACTGCTACGAAAAGAACTTGAAGCCGACAGTTCAAACCCAATTAGCTGTGATTTCGTCTACAACCTTACGTACACGATCGTGTCCACCGTCAACCAGACCTTCCTGCACTACAATGAGCATCTGGTTAGTGAGCAGTTCTTTCTAGCAATATTTCACCTGCTGGAAAGTAATCTGGATATAATCAAACATGTCTACAGTCTCCTGCAAGAATCCAATGGAACAACTCAACAGTCTGTAGTGGACATTTTGCTCAAGATGCTCCAGAACTTCATCGTCGTGCTAGCCCCGAATCGCGTAACGGGTAAAAAACTTCCTCGAGCTCGACACAGACTACACCACGCGCGCCAGGATCCCAAAACGGCATACATCTGTGCGCTGGAAAACATCCTTCTTCGCGTCTTCCCCGTAGTGAAGTACTCCGATCAGCGAATGCTGCTGCATTTCTTCGGCGAGAATCAAATCTGCTGCTGCAATGCAACCATTGAAACGTTGGAAGTTCTACTGATGATCACCAACGACGATCTAGTCCCGCGGATATGTCTGAACTTTGCCAATCGCAGCGTGATATGCGCGATTTTCGGACGATCCAGCTGTACACGATGCGAAGGCGAACGCTACTGCGACCGCTTCGATGAACGCTTCGATCGCATCCATCGCCAGGTGTTCGACGCCTTTGCTCGCATAGAGAACCGACCTCGGATGCCGATCTTGCTCAAGTACCTTCAGGATGTGACCAAGGTGATACCGGACTCATTGGAGAAGTTTGTCCTGTTCGATCTCGTGTTGCCACAGTTGCGAAAAGAGAAGGCTGATTTTTCGAAGGGGATGCTGGATGATACGACCAAGGACCTGGTCAATGGCTGCCTATCGATCGTGGGAAGATGCCTGCGAGATGCGAACCTTTTTGAGCATTTTTTTACGGAAGAAAACATTGCTATGTTGAATGATCTATCCATGCGAGCTGAATTCGTCTACCAGGTTGGGGTCATATTGAGGATCGCATTCGACAACTCACATCTGCTGGACACGATCGAAGATCAACTGGGGAGGATGATTTTGGATAATCTGCGGGCGCTATCCGATCACTTAGGGCAACTGTTTGCCATTCTCAAGACCAGTGACGTTCAAATAAAACTGAAAGGGCCTGCAGCTAAGGCCGGGGACACTCTTCCGAACGCTGAGTCTACCACCAATGTTCTACAGCTTTTCACCGAACACTGGAAACTCGTTCGGTACCTGATTCAAATCAACGATCATTTATACGAATCCTTCAGTGCCACGTTCGGTGAATGTGAGGACATTCTACGCCTGGTTTGCAATCTGTTCAGTGCTATTCTTTACCACGACAAGCCCAGACAGAGCCAATCATCCCCTTCCAAGCAGACTGCAACGGAGTTAACCGAACTGATCAACCCGGAGCGTCGAAGTATTCTGAACATCTTCCACTTCAACGACCAGCTGATCGAAGACCAAGTTCCAGGTGATGAATTTTTCTACAGCTGCAGTTCGATCGGTTCCGACGGTTTGGAGGATGAAGAATTTTCCCTTCTTCGGGAGCTAACCGTGGACAAGCTTATACATTTCCAGACGGCATCGCAAGAGCAGCTCAACAATGGCAAGCTGGAAAGGAGCTGGTCTCTGTTGGAAAAGTTCAACATTAGGAAAATGTTGGCCGAACTGGTGGACGAGTACTTTCCAGGAACGGCCAAGGTGCGGACGCCATTTGAAGAACTTCCCGAACAGGCCCGGCAACTGTTGTCCAGCGGGGGATTCGTGCGGAAGCGGTTGGCCATGCTGGTGGAGCTGATGCTCAGTGCGTTTCAGTTGCTCGTCGACAGGAACAACCGATTGGGTGAGTTCTCGCTTCTTGGGGTTTTTCTCTCTCTCTCTCTCTTTAAAGCTGGTGATAGAAGGCAAGGTGAAGTAGAAGCATGTGTGTAATCTGATAGGTTTTGTTTCTGTTTTCTTCAAGTGACTGTTACTCGTGTGGGGATAATTCGCTTCGTTTCGATGTGTAGGGTGGTTCTTGGGAAATTAATTGCGTTAAAGTTGTAACTCTTTGAATAAGTTTTTCTTGAAAACATTGTACCTAAAAAAATAGGACCTCAGTAACGACATTTCGCGAGCTTCTCGCGCAAAACAAGCTTGCTCGGTAAATCGGTAGCAATGCTGCACGCAAGTTAAATGCACTAATGATGATCCAGAATGAAGTGTTACGTCTGTTTGTCTGTGATTAGACTGTTTGTCCATTTGCATTTTTGTCATGACATAACAACATAAAATCAACAATAATTAAAGCGCATCGAACCACCCTAGCGTCATCCACTCTCCGGCTTATGAACCGCGAAGCCTTACAAAAGATCAGGGCCGCCTGGCTGTCGCCTGTTTCATGCACAGCCGAAGCACACGAACGTAAAGCAAAACACACCTAATCATTCGACATTTCACAATGCCGATTTCAGTCAGGTTCAGTTCATTATCGCAACAGAGCACACATTTATTTTTCACTCGGTAAAAGCCAATCCATATAATCGAACAATCCATCCAATTTCATGTTACAGAAGACGCCATGCAGTCTGCGCTGATCGAATTGAAAAAGCTGCTTCTCAGTGGTGCACTGGAATACTGGGACTCGCCGGAAGCTGCGAAAAATGTGATGAACGCACTGCAGTCGCTGCTCAAGATCGCCGAAGTGCGGAGTGAGGGCTGCGGTTTTGAAATCGTTGACGGGCAACAGCAAAACGAGTACTACTTTCCGGCGCAATCGTTCGGCAGTGGTGGCAGAAAGTCAGTCAGTGCTGAGGATGACATCAGTTCCACGGATGAAAGCTACACGACCGCTTTCGACGACGGATACGACGGAGACGTGGAGAATGAGCAACTGTTGACGATCGTGTCGCGAAGGGGCAGTAGTATGCGATCGCGGGAGGTCGGTTCCACGAAGGTCAATCAGAACATTTGTAACATAGTGATCGACATACTGATAGAGCTATCGAAAAAGTGCGCCACAGATCCACAGAACTGGAGCTCTACATTATCGCAAATGGTTTTGAAATTGAATGGTATCAAAGATCATCTGGGTGGATCGTTGTATCTGATAACCGGGTTCGGTCCGGTTCTGGAGCGAAGTGATCTACGCTTGAAAGAGCTACAGACGTCGGTACTGGAGTTGATCACCGATTTGGAAAGCCCTGAAGTGTTCTCCAAGTTCCTGCAGCTGTTAAGCCTCGAAGATCCTCCGATTCAGCTGATCTTGACCAAGCTGATGAACCTTGTGGACACCAATTTCAAGCTCGAATGTTACACGGAAGTTAGCTTCCCGGATCCCAGCGACGACGGCACTCGAATATCAACGTGTGATGTGCTTCTGTCGAAGAAGATCAGCTATCTACGGGAGCATCACCGATACTACAATATACGATCGCCATTTACCTGTTCAGCCAAGATGATCCCATTGAGCTATGTAAACTTTTCACCGTGGAATGCAGAAGGGTGTACGGCTTCGGTGTGGTTCCGCCTCAATGCGACACAGCAGGACAGCAATCGTCTTACGATCACGCATCTGATCTCCGTCGGGAGCGAGAAGCAAATCGTTTCCGTATTCATCAACCGCCAGCGACAGTTTACGGTGCGGTTTAACAAACCCGATCGCATTATCTCCACTGCGAATACCAAGCGCTATCTGGCAAGTGCAATCGACGTAAGCTGCTGCGATAATTGTGCCAAAGAATTGTCTCACATGTGGAATTACAAAAACTTCCTACGATCGATTGAACCCTCCGTGCAGGTTTTCCGTATTGATGCGCCTGGAGCGCAGTGCGTCTATTGTTACAAGCACCTACCCGCAGGTAAAACCGTCGCCACCACAAGCCTCTCGAACGACTACTTCTACGATCTTCACTCAGAGCAATACACGATCAAAGACTTTCAATTGGTAGAAGATCAGTGGACTTCACTGGCTCTATCCGTTCAACAGCTAGACAACTCCATAGTCATTGTCCTTACGCTGGACGGAGTGCAGCAGCAAACTGTGACCATAGGTGACCCATGCCAAATCCACATCGACACCGCTTTACCAGTGCTTGCCATCGGCCATCGAATAGGCGTCGAGGATGACTGTCCACTGAACTATTCCCTCTCCAACGTTCAACTGTTCAGGAAAAGCTTCACAGACCTATCCACATTGGCCAATCTCTACGCACTCGGCCCCAATTGGATACACCTGAACGGATTCCTCAAGGGTGAGATCGTTCCCAACTACGGTAGTCTAAACCTGGCTAAGCTTTCGCTGGAGGATCTCCATCCACGGAATCACTTCCACCTGCTGCATCGATCGCACGTCGGTAGCTATGCTGCCCACAAACCGGACGTATTCATCACCGGTAAACCCGGATACGGAAGAGTCGCACTGGGAATGCTTAGCTTCTCACCACGACTTACCCCGAGGGAAAATCTTTCCCTTCAACGATCGATACAGCTATCCGGTGGAATCTCCGCATTACTGTTCGCCTTTGCACGCATCGTCGAACTGTCCGATTCACCGAGAATCCACGCCAATGCTCTGAACTTGCTGCTGCGAATCGCTCACGATAACAACGACTTTTACAACGAATTCGTTCAACGCGATCTACTCGAACTGGTAGGGATCGTGCTGAAGAACAAGAAATGCCACAAGGAAGTATGCGTCCTGGCTGCCATGCTGGAGGTCGCATTCGATCATCCGATTTTGGTTCGCCGTGGCGATGTCTATAGCGTTCTGTCCAACTCCGTAGCCAGAATCCGCTACCCGGAGATCATCATATTCTTCTTTGAAAATTTCCAAATGTGGATCGATAACTCAGAGGAGGTACTAAACTTGGTGTTTGAAGTCCTCATCACAATTACCCGCGATAAACACCCCGGCATGGAGTACAACTGCAAACGTCTAGCTGATGCGAATCTCGCTCCCACCCTGATCGACTTTTGCCGGATGAACTTCGTTATTCCACCAAAGACTGTCAAAATATCCAAATCTGCAGCAGACTCGCTAGTCACGCTCATCACAATCCTCTCGAATACTCCTCCGAAAGTGAGCTTGCTGAAAGAAATCATCGACCTGCTGCTACTGATGCACAAACCCACTGACAGCTACGTAACCCACGATCGCCAGAAGTTCTACTTCAACATCAATCCCCACCTGCCGAACCGAACTGCGAAGAGCAACGAGAATAAGTTCACACAACGCTTGAACCTCCGCGAACGGCGTCTCAAGTACTCCCAACTGCGCAAGGTAATCCCACTGGCGATCGCAAACACCAGCAACGTGGCTTCGTTTGAATCGACAACCAGTTTCATCGAAATGGATAAGCTGGAGAGCAAAGCCGGTGACTCCTATGAAGCATCACCGCAATCAACACCCAAGTCTTCTCACGGAAGTCCCTCGGCAGTCGATTACGAAACCAACTACGACAGGCTGAATCAGGCACTCGCAAATGTCAACATTCGAAGACGGAGCTTGAAGAACGATAAGCACAAAGTTCGACGACTGCAGAGCCCAACCAGCCGGGTTAATCTGACTCCCAAGGAACGAAGTTCTCCTTCCAAGGTTTGCACGAGAAAGGAACTCAACCTGTCCACGCAGTCTTTGCCTACTAAATTCAGTGAGTACCTTCGTATGTATCCGTCGACACAATTATATAAAACCTCTTCCTGCACTCCACAGAGTTCTTCGAACAAAACTACTTCGGTACCGGCAACGACTTCATCCAGGAGAGCTTTCTACGGGCACTGTGCGACTTCTTGTTGATCCTTCCGGATCAGGAAGCGAAACAGTTCTTCAACGCGGAAAACCAAATCATAGAGACCTTGCTGATTCTGGCCAACAACTCCAACATTCGAATCCGGACGATGATCATCAACCTGATCGCGGTCATCAGCGATCGGGTGCTATTCAGCTATACCGAGGAGCAGTTTAAGATCTTTTGGCACCATCTGGGAAATCAGATCGGATCCCATAGCGTCAGTGTTGATCTGTTGAACAGCTGCTTCCGATGGATCACGAAAACCGGTTCGGTGTTGGCGCTGGAGTCGTTGATCTTGGAGTACCACGTCAACGTCGTCCAGGAAAGTGGTTTGAATGTTTTGATGGCGATCCTGCCGCAATCGCACGTTGACTCTCGACTGTTCCAACTCGTGCTGCATCTGATGGATTACATCGGGGTGAAACATCCTAAAGCTGTTCAGTATATGGTGGAGAATGGACTTGTGGGAACGGTGGTTAAGACTGCGGTCAAAATGCATGAGAAGGAAGAGGGGGAGGTGATCGCTAATCGAGATAGTTTCCTGAACTTTATCACCAATTTTTCGCAGCGATCGCTGGTCTCGGTAACCCTTATCAACGTGAGTGTTTGATTTGAATGAAAGTGTCAAGCATTGAGTTTAATTTGAATTATTTATTGCAGCCTTTCTGGGACTTGATCAACGGTCTTACGCTTGCCGAAAGACACAAAAACCCCAAGGTCACACGAGGAGTCCGGGACATCCATGCCCTGTTCTACCGGAACTTACTTCAGCTATTCGTTTACCGACCAACGGATTCCATCATCGGTCATAAGAATAATTGTAAGACCCCCCATATGTGCTCTAAAACATCAACTAATGATTACAACTTGGTTTACAGCTTTCACAGTAGACCTCCCAGGCAGTGTGATCCCGAAGGCAGAAGTGAAGGCCCGCTTCAACCAGATTCACGACAAAGCAGTGCAATTCATCACCAATTGCGACGCCGAACATCAGGTATTCGATGCTGAAGTCCTGCTGATAAAGAGCCTCATGAATCGAACTCTAAATGGAAACCCCCGCGGTGGGAACATCATTCTCTGGTGTCTTCTACCGAAACGTCCGGCCAGTTTGAAGCTGTACACCATCCGTCAACTTGGTCAGTACATTGACAGTGGAAACTACCTGTCGTTGATCTGCGATATTCGCATGTTGAAAGTTTTCAGCCAGAGCATACTTCTGCTCAATAATAAAGATTTGAACGTCGAAGATCTGGCGTTCGTGAACAGCTTCTGCAAGGCAATCGACGGAACGCACAACAGCACGTGGACGTTGACTCAAACCCTGGAGGAGTTCGATTACCTTCGGACGATCAATCTGAACGATCAAGAACAGACGATCCTCAAATCGATCAACAAACAGGAAAAATTGATCCACACCTGTACGATCGCTGCCATGGAGATTACCAGGAACATTGTGGAGAAACAGAACAAACTACGCAAGGAGCTAATCATCCAGCTCAAAAAAGACAACGACTTCAAGTTCTTCAACCAGTGGAGGCAGATCATCGAACAGATGACCCACGAAGATGCTCCCTGGTATAATGAAAAGCTATATCCGAGTTCATGGGAGCTGGATGACACGTATGGTCCAGGTATGGTTCAAAATCGGATGAGACGATGTCGGCGGACGGTTGAACAGCGGTTTCTTCAAAAAGAATTTCGAACACAAGACGGTGACGCTTCGAAACCGCTGTTGGAGTACCTGATTCCACAGAATCGTAGTCAGGAGTTTTCGATGGAGAACCAAGTGCTATACACCTCGACTGTGAAGCAGATTTCACCCAAACAGGAGCTGGATAGTGAGTGCATCCTTACGAGTACGGAACTGGTGCTGAGTCCCAGTTCTGGCGATATCTCCATCTACGATCTACACGACATCACAAAGATCTGGACAAAGCGCTACCAACATCAGGAGACGGCGGTGGAAATCTTCCTCAGAAGCGACAAATCGCTCTTTCTGGTGTTCGACCGTTCGCTGGAGCGGGAGATATTTGCCGGATTTTTCCAGGATCTCGTTCAACGGGAAGGTCGGCAAGAGTTGGAAGCACAAACGCAAGCTTGGAGGGAAGGTTCTCTGAGCAATTGGGAATATCTGATGCATTTGAACCAAATCTCCGGCAGAAGCTATCACGACCTGATGCAATATCCGGTATTGCCGTGGATATTGGCTGACTATGAAAGCTTGAAACTAGACCTTCTTGCGGAGAGGACTTTTCGTAATCTGGAAAAGCCAATCGCCGTCCAGTATAAGGATCTGGAAAAGCATTACATCAACAACTACAACTATTTGAAGCAAGCGGAAAATGACTCCCTCAACAGGATTCAGCCGTACCACTACAGTTCGCATTACTCAAATTCCGGAACGGTATTGCACTTCCTTGTTCGAATGCTTCCGTTCACATCACTGTTCTTGCAATACCAAGACGACAGCTTCGACATCCCGGATAGAACGTTCCACTCGTTGGCCACCACTTGGAAGCTGGCCAGTAAAGATTCGCCCACGGACGTGAAGGAACTGATCCCGGAGTTTTACTGCTGTCCAGAGTTTCTGGAAAACTCCGAAGGATTCGATTTTGGACTTCGTCAATCCGGAGAGCCCGTCGATCATGTTGAACTGCCGGCTTGGTGCAACCAATCTACGCGACTCTTCATGCTAATCCATCGGCAAGCATTGGAGTGCGATTACGTGCGAAAACGGATTTCCAGCTGGATCGATCTGACCTTCGGTTACAAACAAACAGGTTCGGCAGCTGTAGAGGCAATCAACGTGTTCCACCCGGCAACATATGCCAACTTCAACGCTACAGACATTGAAGACCCGGTTGAAAAGCTCGCACTGGAAACCATGGTCAAAACGTACGGTCAGATGCCCCGGCAGCTGTTCGATAGTCCACATCCGCAGTCGAACGTTGCTCCACTGTGGGCAAATCCTCCCGAGGTTGTTGACACCGTTAGCGGGCTCAAGTGGGGACTGTACAGTGGATCGCCTGTGCTGCCGAGTCCGAAGATCATTGACATCCGAGCGACTCTGTCCAGCCTGACTTCCTTAACGCACATGGATGTCAACAAGGTGATTGGCCTGCCCGCTCGAATGAATGTTTTCCGAGGTCAACATTCCAGGGGTCATTATCTGATGGATTGGGGCCATCTGGACGATGTGGTACGGTTTCGATCGGTTCAGGAAAGTGATACCCGATCGAGTGAACTGGTTTACAATACGAATATGGATCCCATCACAGCATGCGGAAGTGATACAAACTGTCCGGATATTTGGTTCGGGCATCGATCCGGACGGATAGCAGTGTTCCAACAGCGGCAACCGAGGAAAGTGTCATTCTTCAATCCCAACATACAGCCAACGGTGACGCGATCGCGATCAAGTTCGTTCCGACGGTGGATAGATCGGAAGAGCGCAACATTGCGGAAAAAGTTGGAAGGAGACGACGACGGCGACGAATCCACGGGTGGCGTTCCAATCAGATGGAACTTCCCGGTGATCTTGATCAAACATCGAGCAGAGGTAACGGCGATCGCGATCAGTACGGAGTTTAAGATCGTCGTTAGTGTGAGCATAGACGGGACGGCGGCAATTTGGGACTACAATACGTTGAGCTATGTTCGGGAAATACCAAAACCGGTCAATGTGATCAACTCTAAGATCAGTTTAGTGGCGATCAGCCCGACTTTGGGGGATATCGTAACGATTCATTCGAGCGTTCATGCTGCTTCGGTGTCGAGTCGATCGAACGATACGTCAACGCTGGTGGATGATGAGAGTTTTGAGGTCACAGAGAACTACAACATGGACTACGTTAACGTGGCGATGGCTTCCAGTCGCGATCAGCTGCGGCTGCACACGATCAACGCCAAGTATGTGGAGCATGTTTTCATGGAAAGTCCGGTGATGGCAATCTGCTATACATCGGTGAAGGAGGGCTGCGGTGTGAACTGTATAGCAGTTGGAATGGAGAGTGGTGTAATAAGACTGTATAGTAGCTGGAATCTAGCGTTGGTTCGTGAGATCACTACGATTCTAGGAGAACCCTTCGGGATAATGAGGTACGTTTGAAACATTCTTTAAATGTGACTAATCGCTAGCATGTTTGCTACTTTTCAGCCTAATCTACTCCAAGAACCAGCACCTGATCGTACTAACGTCAAGCAATGTGATTCAAACGTGGAAGTCCGAAGGTCTTCCCGGGACATCACCTCAGATTATGGAACTACCGGTTCGGCGATCGATTGGCTAAGCCAATTCGGTCATAACTGTACTTCATAGGAATATAACCAAGAGCTTTATCGATCTGTTATCATATTTTTGTTAAGATGAAAAAAGAGAATGATATTATATTTTTCTATTCCGTAACTAGCACGCTTTATTCAATTATTTCTATCGTTTGAGAAAATCCATCTGTTCGAAACAAATGCCATTTTGCAGCAATATCTTAATGAGATCTGCAGCCTTCAGTGCGGTCCCGGATATAAGATGCGGGAACTTTTGCACTTTTCCTTCGTGGTAGTTGAAAGCTATCCTTTTGCTGATGAAATCCGAGTAGTAGCATACACCTCCAACCTTCACGAATCCCTCCGTCTTTGGACTGAACACTTCCAAATCCACTCGCATGGCTTCAGACGGTTGTAGTTTGTAAGCCGGAATTTGAACCAACCTGTAGGTCAAGCCCAGCTGATCGTAGAACTTTTTGTACAGCTCGATCGTTTCATCGAATATTTGTACGGCTTCCGATCCTTCTTGTGACGCAGCTAACATCTGAACGGCACTGGTTTGGATCTTATCGTAGAAATACTGCTTACCGATAGCAACCAACCGCAGCGGCAATGCCGTGGGAAACACCGAAAGCTTCGTCAGGTATCCCAGGAAGCTCAGCATCGAGCCTCCGCCACATAAATGCAGCAGGTTCAGTTTGTGTTCCAGGTCAACTTCTTCGTTGATGAGGTAGATCGAGTCGGGATCCTTCCTAGCTGCCTCTACTAATACGCTTCGAACGAAATCGGGATTCGAGAACGGTATGAAACCAGCATCCTGCAACACACCGGCACAGTTAATCGGAAGAAACAGGTCCATCAGGGCAGCATCCCCCGTCATATAGAAACACGTCGAATCATACTTCTCCAACCATTCTTCCCCAATCGGCTTCGAGTGTCCTTCCACATTTCGCTCAAACAGCAGTTTCTGTTTTTCCGCTGGCGTTCTCTCGTGTAGCTCATTCGGGATGGCCAGGAAATTCCCCGCAACGAACGTGTCCGCTATGGAATAACCGCTTTCCTTCAGGCTCTTTAGGTCATCCCTAGCGAGTGTGGCTTGCAACTTCAGCTGTTTGATTTCGTCTTCATTCTTAGTCTTGTTGATTTGCTCCTTCAGGTGAATCCTTTTTGCTTCTATGTCCCGTTTGCGCAGCTCGATCGATCTGTACAGCGCCCACTGATTTTTGAGTTCTTCAAAATCCAACCGGTACCGGCGTAGTCGGAGGTTCTGCTGCAGTTTTTCCAGGTCCGACAGCTTTGCCTGGAAGTCCAGGTAGGGAACGAGGGGAGCGTACTGCTCTTTCGCTTTGTCCCCGGTGATGTAGAGTGCGGAGGAATAGGCCCGCCGAGAAAGCAGATAAAGTGGCCTTGTGCGGAGCATTTCACCGGATTTGAATCGAATGCATAACTGGGTATAGGATAATAGTGATGTGCGGAATTTTGAGATACTTGTATGGTAGCGAAGAAGGTTGTAAACATGTGATTTGACGTATGCTTATCAGTGGTGAGAGCGGTTTGTTATGAAAGAAGATTCAAAGAAAGGCTGGAGAGAATGAAAATTTGTTGAGTGAGAAGCGAGACCGAAGGAGTGAGAAAACACGGTCAATGATAATTACTCTGAGAGAGAGTCACTACCTCTATGCTGCTACTCAGTTGTATGAGGAATTTCTAAATTCTTGGAATTGTAATTGTAATTTATTTAGTCTACGAAACCTTGCTGGTAGAACCTTTTATCAGTTCATGGAAAAAACAGTAAAGAAATTCACATTTGGAAACTAGATAGAGTACAAGCAACAACCTCTATGGTACAAGTGCCTTTACACCAAATTGTCAAAAACTGCAGTTACTTAGCGTTGAATTCCTGCAGTTTTTAGAAATTTCTCCATACAACTGAGTGGTAGAGGTGACCATAGCTGTAAAATCTCGACCATACATGACGATATTGGCAAAACAGCTTTGGTCGCTCATTCGAGCAAAAAGTCATCTTCAAGGGAAACCATGTCAATTGGGTTGTTTAGGGGTATAGAGGTAAGTACATATTGGCAATACCAGCGCCGGCCGCGCCCGAACACAGGTCAAGAAAGGAATGGGTAGGAATGTGTTGACGTGACACTCGTTTTGATGGAGAATACCCCTACACTTCACGAGGAATCACTGGGATATTGGGTAAGAGGGTTGGGATTGCAGATTGGTAACGTTTTGGTAAACGATAAGCTGAATTGGAACGATCATAGCACGCGAAGGAGCTTGGGATTGAACCCATGATATTCTGCTCAGTAAGCAATAACGTTTGCCACTAGGCAAACGAGCTCCTTTTATTACAACACACCAAATGACTTTGATGTTATTCCAATGTATTCACATTAACAAATAAAGCGATTAACCTAGGGGCATCGCACTCTAAACTTTAGTTCCAATATTTATTAAATATTTTTAAATATCTCGTAAGTACCGCTAAGTATTTTAATTCTAGGTTTTATTTTCATCGTAGTAAAATTTGTTTTATGACCTGTTGCTAGTGTTGTGTTTGTTGTTTGTTTGCTCCATCAGTTCGATAATTTTAGTCACGTGATCTGATCATTTTTTAGAGTATAAAATTAGTTTATTTGAAATGAAGTATGTTTTTCAGTGATCTAAAATGTGAAAATAAAGTACACCAAGTCTTGTTGATCCGTTTTCTCGGACATCAGGATCCTATCCAAGTAACAATTTCGGTTTTATAAGGGTTCTGTAGACCATGATTTAGACTTGTAGCATGCTTTAAAACCTCCATAAAACTTGCAATGTTACTTGGGTAGAAGACAATTGTGGAACCAAAGAGCTTTAAATGTGTACAGTCCCCCAACAATTAAAGAACATTTAATTACTGTTCAGCCAGTCTAGTGTGTTCATCATATGGAAATGTTCCATATTTGTGGAAGAATGTATGTTGTTGTTGATTGTATGTATTATGAAATAAAAGCTGAACACAATGAAACTGTATATTCTCAAGACTACTACAAAATCAACAGACTAATCATACTTTACTGAACCACCGAATCTATAAATAACAATAATTTGAAAATTACAATATGTTTTTTTAACGATAAAATGAAAAATGGAAAATGGACCATTTTTGTAAGGTTATCGTCGAGCTCATTAACCCATTTAATGAGCATGCCCCCAATATCGCCACATTTTTTTTATAATCCGTGACGTAAAATCATTGTAACTATCCACTAGAAACTAGTTCAAGTCTCTGATTTACAAATAAGCAATGCATTAGGTATTGGAACAACATGACATACATGGGGGTATACATTTTCTCTCATTTTTGCGAAGAGTACTTAATGCATGCTTTCCAACTCTATTGGTTTCTTAAGGGTGAAATAATAGATTTCTTCAAACTAAACCTGTAGGACCATAAGGTCCACATGGGAATGTTCAAAGTAACCCAACAAACAATTTTAGCTGCAGTTTAGCTTATACAGCCAAAATTCGCCTTATGCAGCTAATTTTTGCCTGTGTAAGCTAAGCTGCAGCTAAAATTGTTTGTTGGGAAGCGTCTGCAAGAAAAATATCAGGTGAATAGAATGTTATGATAGTCAATTTTAATAACCGTTCTAAATTTTGTTCTGAATCGATTTTTCGATTTGAACTGGTCCAACTTAGCGACCTTTATGAGCTTCAAGTTGAAATCCATGGGAGGATGGGTATGGGGGAAAATCCATGGGAATGTTGTTATTTCTGCAGCTCGTAACGCTACGGAAGCTATGAGATTCGGCTCTTCGGATGCCACAAGTTCCGATTCAGCTCCCATCAGCTTAAATGTCACAGGATCAAGATCCTAGTGGATTAAAACCTCGGTGAAAACCTCCTTGAAAACTATACTTATAACAAGATAGTCATTTCCAGAACTGCATTTTGAACGATACATTTAAACGAGCAATAGCCGAAATGTTCCAATGGCCATCAGTATAGCTTCCTCTTGAGACTGGATCAACGAGTCACGTACGATACGGTCAGTGGCGTGTAGTAAATTCTATTAATATTGAAACTCACAACTGTTTGACACCTGGAGCTTCTGCGGCAGTCGGCAGTCGGCAGTTGTTGGGGTGGCAGTTGGCAGTTGTTGGGGTGAGCACCAAAGGCTTCTTTTGCTCCCGGGTCTCCGGGCGATGGCGAGGTAGGGGGAGTTTTCGAAATTATGAGAAGCTTGACAAAAATTAACCCTTTTAGGCTTTAATTTAATGGTTTTATTGGTCCAATGGTGGGTGGGAGGTAAAACACTTACGCTGCTGTAATAGAGAAACCGGCCGCTGTCGATGTCAAGCTACCGATCCTCGTGGCTATCGGCGGCTGTAGTGTGGACTGATCCCAGATCCTGGGAGACCACGGACGTTAGTTGTCCCAGAGGTTGAAATCTCGGTCTCCGAAAGGCATAATATCACCGCTCTTCACACACTACTTTACAAAAGTGCACTCTAACAACGTGCCTCACGTCTCTGAATCCTATCCAAATTTCACCAGATCCACTCTGTTCCACAGCTTCAGACTCACTGACCTTCTCGCCTCTTCATCGTAGCTCATGCACCACCCAGCAACTCCCTTTCGTAATGCGTTTTGCTCTATCCGCTGTTCCATCGTGACCCTCTTCATTATGCGAGTCCAATCGCCACCCGTCACGAAACGTATAGATGACTGGCTATCGACTACAAATTGACCTTTAACTTTCTGAGCAAACTAAATACTGTTTCTTTTCCTATCGTCTTAAAATTATACGCAACAAAAACTGTTACCGTTCGGTAACAATATAATAAATGTTAAATTTACACAAAATCAGATAAGATTTGAATCCAAACGTCAGATAAACAAACAAATGAAATTGGTTTATATGCTATAGCAACCAAGCAAACAAACCATCGCTAGATATTTCTTAAGTATTTATAAATATTCCCAGGTATCTATAGGTATATCGATAGGAGTACAAAGTTTAGAGTGGGATGCCCCTAGCGATTAACGAATCTTGAATATGGAGAGTAGACTGATGCAAATTTTGACATTTTCGCTCCACAGTGCTCATACGGTTCCAAATCGGGTCCTGATTAGTCTCCCAAAATTTGAACTAATTTGCAAAGAAACTGACTTGGCACAAACCATTTGAAGTTTATATGGAAATTACTATGGGAAATCAAAACTTTTTGTTCATTGTCTTCTTACCTTTTTCCATAATGCACTGTTCAAAAATTCAAAAGCTATACTTATGGAAAATTTTCTCAGCTTCAACTTAGCAGAATATAGTTGTTGAGCCAAACGTCAAATAAAATAGTTATTAATTGTTTAAGAGATTGATAATCTTATGGCATGATCAAGCAGCTGTTTTGTGAGCAACACTATATCTTGCAGTGTGACATAGTAGCCATGATTTTTGTGCTCTATTCCAAGCGCCAGAAACACCAATGTTGCCTGCTGAACAGTTGATTGAGCATAATCGTAAGACATTAGTGGCTTGAATTATTGATAACTTTTGATGCTTACATTATATTGAAAAGTGGTTAAGGACAAAGTTGTAGCTGAGAAAATTTTCTACGAGCTCAATTATCATTTTTTAAAGCAGAGCGATATGGTAAATTGTTAGATGGATATGAACAAAACATTTGATTTTCCTATAGTAATTTCCATATAAACTTCAAATGGTTTGTGCCAAGTCAGTTTCTTATCGAATGAGTTCAAATTTTGGGAGACTAATCAGGACCCGATATGGAACCGTTTGAGCACTGTGGAGCGAAAATGTCAAAATTTGCATCAGTCTAATGGAGAGGCTTGAGATTAAACTCATGATGTTCTACTCAGTAAGCAAAAATGGCCGCTCTAAGGCCACCAAGCCCCTCATATCACATCATACAAGCTACGATCGCATTGTCATTGTTATACATATTTGTCAGTTGAATTTTTCAATAAACAATAAACAACAATAAACAATACCATTCAAAACCGGCCCCTACGGTGACGTTGATAACGATGTTAAGTTTCACAAAACACACGATAATCAAGCAATGTTACTATTATGATAGGACCTGGGATTTATCGAGGGGGGTAACACATCTAAATCTCAATTTTAGATGCTCAAAAAATCTCACACTAGCGAATCAATCTTCGAAAAATCTTCTTGCATTTCTCGCATCTACATGCATCGTGCATCATCTTTTTGCAGGAAATCTTCAGAATCGTCATCAATCTTCTTTCTATCTACTCAGCGTGCGAGCAGCTAGCCACATCACAACACAATCTTTCCTGCAGCGTAGATAGAGTCGTCTCCCTCGAGCAATTCCAACCACACAATAACTCGGTTTGCTGTCTTGGGCAAAGTTGTAGAATTTTATGAAAAGTTGCCAAAGACAGCTGTATATCTTCAAACAACTGAGATATACCAAGTTTTATAAAACTTGCCTGAAATTCACGTTTTACGTTGAAAATACTTTTATCAGTTTTCCTCGATCGGTACTGATGAATTCAATCTTTTCCAGATCAATGTAAACGTAGTACAATAAATAGAAAACTATGCAGAACAGCTTTGTCCAAGGTCGCAAATCGATTCGACAGTTGCGTTAAATGTTTTAAATTTCAGGCCAAGTGCGCCGCGCATACCTATATTCTCATACACAAGTCTGTAGGTATGCGTGGTGCAGTAGGCCAAAGTAAATGGTGGATAACTTGTTTCACAGAAATTCAATTAATTTGCGGTCTTGAACAACGTTGTTCTATATGAAAACTATATCTAAATCTCAAGTTGTAACAAAATTGAGCACGGTAGCTGGAGCTGTCAATCTGATGGCGTAGAATTATTCTACGCCATCAGATTGACAGCTCCAGCTACCGACACTATAAGGGGCCTCCTTGTTGAAACGACCACCGAACGATAACTAAAAACCTTAAAATCTAGTCATCACTCGTCAAATCGTTTCTCCCGTCTACGGTCAGTACCGTTTCTTGGTGAAAGCACACGAAGTTGGTCGCCCTATTCTTCTCATCGAAGTGCACTGATGGTTATGAGCAAAAGGCTCGCATGAATGACGAAGGTGTGTAAACAAACGGTGCTAGTTGTATTCATTCATGAATCCGCATGCATGCTTTGCTTTGGGCACAGGCTTGAGGTGTGCGTGCCATTTTTTTACAGCTCACGAAGCGAGTGAAGCAACTCGAGCTCGTGTTTTTTCTGCGATTTTTCCCTTCTGATGTGTGTTTGGCAAAGGCAAAGCTACCATAGAGGTGTGGTGTGTGATAACAAACAATCATCCGCATAATAGATTGCTGCCAAAAGGTCCAAAACTGTGCACTTTGTGCTTAATCCTGCCTCTAGTCACTTCAGATTGTTGTTGTTAGTCAGTTGATTAGCGACCGGTCACTCAAGTGGTTCAAATTTCTATTTGCGAAAAGATTAGGCCGAACAAGACAAGTGCGACGAAAACGATGGCTTCTGCGGGGGATGAGAGTAGATTAATCATCAGCGGCGGACCGGTACCGCAAAATGTTACCGAAGGACACGGTTCCCTCGGAGCGTACCTCAGGAATCGAATGCGACTCAATGGCAATGATGTTGGTCTTGTAAGTACTGCTGCAGGTCATATCACATGTGGTAAAGTAAATATTAATTCTACATTCATATCGCATTAGATTGATGGAGTTTACGGAACGGAACTGCGGTACCTGGAACTGCTGGAGCAAACTGTTCGACTGGCGGAGTGCCTGCGTACTTTGGCCGATGTCAGAGTCGGAGATGTGGTCGGAATCGTCAGCGAGAATAGGCTCGAATTCCCGGCGGCCCTGTTTGCTTCGATCTTTCTAGGAGCGACCGTGGCGCCCATCAATCTAACCTACACCGAGGGTAAGTATCTTTCCGATGAAACCATTGTGCCCACTCATGTTGTACTCGAATGCAAATCTAATCTCAGTTAATTGCCTATCAAATCAGCGTAACAATAAGCTAGGTAGATAACGAGAGCGCGACGGCTTTCTGTTATCAGCCATTCAAGCAGTCAACTGATAAGGCTCAAACAATTGCTTTACTTTACCCAGGTGAACTGGTTCATGCATTTAACCTGTCCAAGCCAAAGGTCATCTTCGTGTCACCGTTCTCGGCGGATCGGGTTGTGGCCGCGGCACGGAAGAATCGACACATCGTCCAGCGGGTGATTCTGTTCGGCGAGGAGAACCCCTTCGGAAGCGATGTGGAACTGTTCGATGATTTCCAGAAGCCGGTCTCGTTTATCAATCCGCTGCAGTTCTACATTCCACCGGTGGACGTCGACAATCATGTGGCACTGGTTATGTGCTCCTCGGGAACTACCGGGCTGCCGAAGGGCGTGCAGCTTACGCACTACAATCTGATGGCCAGCATTGCGCTGTTGAAGTAAGTAACCTGCTGGGAGAGGGGTGAATTGTTATGCGCTGGGAGGAAGTACCTATGCTAACCACCAATCATCGTATCTCTATCGCATTTGCAGTGACCTTATCAACAAAACTTGTAATTCCAGTGACCGGAATCAGTTGCACACTGGGTAAATGTTTCACGCCAAATTAATTACCATGCGTTCTAATTTTCTAACCCAAACTAATGTCGGTCTAACGAATACTAATACTCCATGTATCTTTCACCTAATACCTTTTATTTTTTTGTTCAAACTAACTGTGATATTTGTTTACTAATTAGTTTTTAATTCAAATTAATAGTTAGAACCAATAGAAATATATATCATTAGGCATTTGGGAGAAAAAAAAATGTTGTCAAACTTATAACTAATTCTTGTCACAATTGTTGGTAATCGGTCCATAAGTCAATAATAACTTGGGTATAGAACCGTGTTTGTCATATTAGAAGCTAGATAATAGATCTGTGTGCTGAAAATAGCTGATGGTGTCTTAGCATGACCATGAGGATGCAAAGAGAAAGTTGGCGAAGAGAATATGTCAATGGTACTTAGGACCTAATGCATTGTTCAGCTTGAATTGTATGACTGTCCCACATGGATAGGAAATCAAGCAAAGATGTGACGCAAGTCGTTGTTATGATGATGATGATGGTCCCACCTCGCACCCCTACAAAGGTTTGAGCTGGACGATTTATCTTTGAGATAATTGAGTATGACATTTTAACCAAATTAGCTAACAAAAACGAACTGGTTACAGTTACAGATATAAATTACCTTTACAGTTTCTTCACAGCTCTTTGTTCACCAAACGTCAAAGTTCCATATTGTGTTCATCAATTGTTAAATTCAGTCCTTGATATCCGTAATACGCGCGTGAGATGACTCAAAATTATATTTTTTAATTAACTTCTACTTTTAATTAAATATCAAAAATCCATCATCACCGTTCGTCGGTATGTTTGCAGAACTACAATAATTATTAAAAAGCCGTTATGCATACAAAGTAATCCGTTAGAGATAACTTCGTCAAGAGTCAAGATACATAATTTGCCAATTCATAAAAAAATCCACTAGACAGCTGTTCAAAACTCAGCTTTATCCTGGGGAATGCAGTGTTTCTTAAATTATTTAAGTGTTACTGAACGTTTGATGTGCCTCGGCATCGAATTGAAAACATTTATTCCTTAAAATTATGAATAAAAATTGCGAAGCACATGTCAAAAAATGCGATGTCCTTATTTCATCCGCGATTCTGGTAGAGCCCTATAAAGACAAATAAAAAAACTGGCAACATGACGATATTTTTTCACACATACTAGCAACCCTAAACGTTGTTCGCACCTTGCATGACTTACCGCTTTCGTTGTGTATTGTTGTTATTGGTAAGAATTGAAGTTTGAGGTCAAACGTTACTGAAGATATGTTAACGATGATTCTTAATTTATTTTCATATGTTCTAATTCATCACCTTACAATATATCAAGCTATATTTCTATCCCTATCCAAGATGGTTTTATTTTATTAATTATTTATTAGGTTGATAGCCATGTTAGGGAAAACACACCTATTTTGACCATACTTCTATTTTGGCCATGTTTTAATGATATTTCGCGTTTTTTACATGTTTGAGATCTTAGGTTGTGTCAAGATTGTTGATTCAAATCCTATTCGCAGAGGTATATATCGCCCACAAAAGTGTGATTTCATCGTTTTTTCTGAGGCATGGCCAAAATAGGAAACTTTGGCCAAAACTGGTGCACTTACCCTACAATCTAATCAGAATACATTGTTTTCTACCCACTGACAGGCCTTCTGCTCGATTGGCTGCAATTATGTGACTATTCAATTGACTGCAGATACGATTTCTCGCTTCTCAGAGGTCTCCGTTTTTCAAATAGGACAATAGGCCGATTTGCATACAAACTAGCCAACTTTGGCATGATGCAACGATGTTTTGTTATGATCAATTGAGCTAAAATTTTGACACAGAACTACCATATCGTAAATAACTTTCTTAAGCACGACGTCGTTTATTGGCAATATGTTTGAAGATTTTAAAACTATAACACTTCGGAAATTTCAAATCATAAATGTGCTATTTTATTGTCCAAATTCCGGCAAGCGCTTCTAATAATTTGATATTACGTACACGTAAAATTCAGCATATTTGTAGTTCTGTGTCAAAATTTCAGCTCGATTGATCATAACAAAACCACAGAGAACAGAAATTGAGCCTTGGACAAATTTTCTCTAAAAACTAGTGTAAAGAGTCCTATTCGACTTAAGCGCCACTAACGGCGACTTTCCCACTTAAAAAACCCTCTTTTACAACCTGATGGCACTGGCGTTGCACAACTTACACTAGACACTAACTGCTGGTAGCGCCAAGTGGAAATTTTCAACAGAAAATTTATCGATTCTAGCGCAAAATTGGTCGAAAGTGGAAAATGTATAGAGGAAATCAAGAGATGCTAGCGCCACGAAGCTTGAAATGCGAAGAAGAAGAAGAAGAAGAAGCATTTGATGCATGTATTTATTTATTTAGTTAGTTAGTTAGTTAGTTAGTTAGTTAGTTAGTTAGTTAGTTAGTTAGTTAGTTAGTTAGTTAGTTAGTTAGTTAGTTAGTTAGTTAGTTAGTTAGTTAGTTAGTTAGTTAGTTAGTTAGTTAGTTAGTTAGTTAGTTAGTTAGTTAGTTAGTTAGTTAGTTAGTTAGTTAGTTAGTTAGTTAGTTAGTTAGTTAGTTAGTTAGTTAGTTAGTTAGTTAGTTAGTTAGTTAGTTAGTTAGTTAGTTAGTTAGTTAGTTAGTTAGTTAGTTAGTTAGTTAGTTAGTTAGTTAGTTAGTTAGTTAGTTAGTTAGTTAGTTAGTTAGTTAGTTAGTTAGTTAGTTAGTTAGTTAGTTAGTTAGTTAGTTAGTTAGTTAGTTAGTTAGTTAGTTAGTTAGTTAGTTAGTTAGTTAGTTAGTTAGTTAGTTAGTTAGTTAGTTAGTTAGTTAGTTAGTTAGTTAGTTAGTTAGTTAGTTAGTTAGTTAGTTAGTTAGTTAGTTAGTTAGTTAGTTAGTTAGTTAGTTAGTTAGTTAGTTAGTTAGTTAGTTAGTTAGTTAGTTAGTTAGTTAGTTAGTTAGTTAGTTAGTTAGTTAGTTAGTTAGTTAGTTAGTTAGTTAGTTAGTTAGTTAGTTAGTTAGTTAGTTAGTTAGTTAGTTAGTTAGTTAGTTAGTTAGTTAGTTAGTTAGTTAGTTAGTTAGTTAGTTAGTTAGTTAGTTAGTTAGTTAGTTAGTTAGTTAGTTAGTTAGTTAGTTAGTTAGTTAGTTAGTTAGTTAGTTAGTTAGTTAGTTAGTTAGTTAGTTAGTTAGTTAGTTAGTTAGTTAGTTAGTTAGTTAGTTAGTTAGTTAGTTAGTTAGTTAGTTAGTTAGTTAGTTAGTTAGTTAGTTAGTTAGTTAGTTAGTTAGTTAGTTAGTTAGTTAGTTAGTTAGTTAGTTAGTTAGTTAGTTAGTTAGTTAGTTAGTTAGTTAGTTAGTTAGTTAGTTAGTTAGTTAGTTAGTTAGTTAGTTAGTTAGTTAGTTAGTTAGTTAGTTAGTTAGTTAGTTAGTTAGTTAGTTAGTTAGTTAGTTAGTTAGTTAGTTAGTTAGTTAGTTAGTTAGTTAGTTAGTTAGTTAGTTAGTTAGTTAGTTAGTTAGTTAGTTAGTTAGTTAGTTAGTTAGTTAGTTAGTTAGTTAGTTAGTTAGTTAGTTAGTTAGTTAGTTAGTTAGTTAGTTAGTTAGTTAGTTAGTTAGTTAGTTAGTTAGTTAGTTAGTTAGTTAGTTAGTTAGTTAGTTAGTTAGTTAGTTAGTTAGTTAGTTAGTTAGTTAGTTAGTTAGTTAGTTAGTTAGTTAGTTAGTTAGTTAGTTAGTTAGTTAGTTAGTTAGTTAGTTAGTTAGTTAGTTAGTTAGTTAGTTAGTTAGTTAGTTAGTTAGTTAGTTAGTTAGTTAGTTAGTTAGTTAGTTAGTTAGTTAGTTAGTTAGTTAGTTAGTTAGTTAGTTAGTTTTTTATTTATTTATTTATTTGTTGAATTGTTTTTTTTTTGTTGATTTGTTTATTTTTGTATTTGTTTATTTATTTATTTGTTTATTTGTTTTTGTGTTTATTTGTTTATTTGTTTATTTGTTTATTTGTTTATTTGTTTCTTTGATTATTTGTTTATTTGTTTATTTGTTTTTGTTTTTATTTGTTTATTTGTTTATTTGTTTATTTGTTTATTTATATACTCATTTATTTGTTTATTTGTTTATTGGTTTATTTGTTTATTTTTTTATTTTTTTATTAGTTCATTTGTTTTTTTTTGTTTTTTGTTTATTTGTTAATTTGTTCATGTGTTTATTTGTTTATTTGTTTATTTGTTTATTTATTGATTTGTTTATTTGTATATTTGTCTATTTGTTTATTTATTTATATATTCATTTATTTATATATTCATTAATTATTTGTTTATTTGTTTATTTGTTTATTTATTTATTTGTATATTTGTATATTTGTTTATTTGCTTAATTGTTTATTTGTTTATTTGTTTATTTATTTATTTATATATTAATTTATTTATATACTCATTTATTTAATTATTTATTTATTTATTTATTTGTTTATTTGTTTATTTGATTATTTGTTTTTTTTTTTTATTTATTTATTTATTCATTTATATGATTATTTATTTATTTTTTTATTTTTTCGCTATGAAAGTTTGTTTCGAGAGGTGCATCGATTAGCTTGGGACCGAAGTGAGCTGAGCCAAAAAGTTGAGCACGTTTCTTCGGGACCTTCTGGTCTTAGAGTTACGTCTATCACAATACCTCATTGAGCCTGTAGATCATCAAGATCTAAATTTCAGGATATGTTGGATCCAGGTTGGAGTGCCTTTCAATTGCCAATAATATCCCACATTACGTTATGGCACTTCATGGAGCTCTACAGATTCAAAAAAATAGTCGAGACATAGTGCAGTACCTCGTTGAGCCTGTATCATCAATATCTAATTATCAGGATGATTTGTAATGAGGTCCCACAAATCTCCTCGGATTCATAGGGTTGATGCATATATTATGTCACGCTCTTGCCCCCTCCCGGGTGTCTAAGATTTTGTGACAAGCAATGCATTAGGTATAGGAAAAACGTCACGATATGGGGAGGGGGGGGGGGTAAATTTCTCCTCGATTTACCGTGACATAATTAATGCAGGACATCAAACAAGACTTTGTTGAGTCTATAGAATATCAAGATCTAACCGTTCACACATTAAGTTGAGACACAGAGACAATACCTCGATGAGCCTAAAGATCATCAAGATTTGTACGAAGGGCATCGTACAAAACTTTATTTAACCTGTAGAATATCAAGATCTAATCGGCATTCATTTTACAGTAAGAAAAAAAATCCCGCATGATATCATGGGACTCCATTGAGTTCTTCGGGTTCAGACATTTAGTCGAGACATTGTTCAATACCTCGTTGAATCTGTAGATCATCGAGATTAAAATTTCAGGATAATTTGGAGAACATGAAGAACTTTGTCATTGGAAACAAATATCCCACATTGTGTTAAGATACTCCAGCTCTACGGGTTCAAAAATTTAGTTGGGGTATAGAGCATTTCCAGGCCAAATGTCGGGCCAAATAGCAAAACAACTTATTTCAGACTGGACCTTCGAGCAGCTCCACACTAAATGACGAATAGGAAAATCGTGAGCTTTACCCATGAAACTTTGCATAATTGTTCACATTTTTGCTAAAATTCGACCATTTTGGATTCTATAAAATTTTCAGAAAATTTCTTTGAAATTTTTCAGAAAATTGTAGCACGGAAACGGATTTGTTTAAAAATTTCGAATACGCCATTTTAATTTTTTTTGCGGTATTCAAAATGGCCGAATTTTAGTTCAACTGTAAATGATTGACCATAACAAACAATTCTAGATAGAGCTGGAATTAGGGCGTAACAGCTTTTGTAAACAATGACTTCTCTCGATTATTTCTAGAAAGCCAAGGCTCGCCCACTCAAATCAACGTCACCATCGGGTAGGGGAAGACTTCCCCTTTCCCGTTGGTTATGTTGGTTGACGTGGGCGTGCCTTGAGTTTCAAGAAATCATCGAGAGAAGTCATTGTTTACAAAACCTGTTACGCCCTAATTCCAGCTCTATCTAGAATTATGTAAAGATCGATTCGTCATTTGACGTGGAACCGCTCAGTAAAATACCGCGTTGAGTCGTTGTCAGTATATAGTAGGTTATCAAGATTTGATCTTCAAAATCATTGGGAGAATCAGAAATATCTCGTTGACACAACTATTATAGTTGTATCTGTAGTAGATAGAGTTAAGGCCCACGCACATTAGATCCGGATCGGACGCGTTTCGGCAAAGTGACAGCTAAATCTATTGTCTAGCTGTCAAATTTACATCAACGCAAGATCAAGATCTGAACATCCGGATAATTTGGAGAACTTGACCTATTTTGTCGTTACAAAGAAATATTTCACATGATATAAAGGGGCTCCATGAAGCCCTGAAGGTTCAACAACTTTGTCAGTATATAGTAAAATACCTCATTGAGTCTGTTGATCACCAGAAGAGATGAACTAGCCTCAGGCTAAAAATCTCTAAAATAAAGACAAAAAAAAAAAAAAAAAATGTTGATCACCATGATACGAACTCCAGGATGAATTGGAGAACTTTCAATACCATGTTTGTCTTGCGTATGTTTTTTTCAATGTACATTGTCATGATGCGACTCCATGTGGTTTTGAATATTCAGGTCCTAAGTGGGTTCATTAATATTTTATCCCATATTTTTTTCTTAAAAGTTTACGTATTGCAGAATACTTTGAAGAATGCATATATGCTTCTCTCTAAATGATGATTTTTGGCAAAAGTTAGAGACCGGGTTAAAGTTGTATCAGTACTGGAAAAAATCAACTTCCAAGATCCTTTAAAGTTTCAGGATCTTGATTTTAAAAAAGGCCTCGCCAATTTGAAATTGATTTACGAATGAATAAAAAGCAAGCAAATATGAATTTCTGCTAAAATCAGTCTTTTCAGTAAGGATTTTTTTTCCATTTGGGAAGCAATTTTCGGAAAAAGTCGTGCAATCTTCAAAATTATCTGTTCCAAATTCAGTTCGTTTTCCCTAGCAAATAAATCTATAAATACCTAGCATGCCCGGCTCGTTAAATATCATCTAAATAAATGTTAATGTATTTCATCGGAAATTTAAACCCATCTACTACTCCATATCTACTTATATCTTCGTATTTGTTGTCCAATTAGCTACACCTTAACTACTAATTCAGCACATTAATGTCCAACGGCCCCTCCTACCGAACATACACCCCTAATCACACCCCTCTCTTCTAGGGAATCCTCGGAGCTGATCGCACCGCCACCAGGTGGAATCGTGCTACTCGGTGTCCTTCCGTGGTTCCACGCGTACGGTTGCATGACCCTGATCAACGTGATCTGCAACAAGCAGCTGCTCGTCTCGTTGCCCAAGTTCGAGGAAGGCCTCTTTCTGAGCTGCATCGAAAACTACCGCTGCACGATGGTGTTCGTGGTGCCTCCGTTGGTGGTATTCCTGGCCAAACACCCACTGGTCGACAGCTACGACTTGTCCAGTGTGGATTCGCTGCTCTGCGGAGCGGCACCGTTGAGTAAGGAGACGGAGGATCTGGTCAAGAAGCGCTTGAACATTAGACACGTTCGCCAAGGGTACGGCATGAGCGAGACTACGTTGGCTACTCTAGTTCAGAGCGGCGAAGGTCACAAGGCCGGAAGCGTGGGGATCGTACAGGTAGGCACGCTGGCTAAGGTGATTGATCCGGCGACGGGTAAGCTATTGGGACCGAATCAGCACGGAGAACTGTGCTTCAAGGGGTCGCAAATCATGAAGGGGTACATTGGCAATGAGGTTGCTACGAAGGAAACGATAGATAAGGAGGGATGGCTGCATACCGGGGACATTGGATACTACGACCAGGATTATGAGTTCTTCATCGTAGATCGATTGAAGGAGTTGATCAAGTACAAAGCCTACCAAGTACCGCCGGCGGAACTGGAAGCGATTCTGTTGACGAATCCGAAGATAAAGGATGCAGCGGTGATTGGCCTGCCGGACGAGAGTGCCGGAGAGCTTCCGATGGCATTCGTGGTTAAACAGGAAGGTGTCGATGTTACCGAAGCGGAGATCAAGAAGTACGTAGCCGACCGGACGTCACCGGCTAAGCGGCTGCACGGAGGCGTGAGGTTCATTGCCGAAATTCCGAAGAATCTGAGTGGCAAGATTCTGAGGCGAGAGCTCCGCGCTTTGCTCCAGAAACCTAAATCAAAACTGTAGGATAAAGGTGTTTGTGCTTTCTGTGTATGAAATAATGGTACCAATGTTTAGAGTAACTTCCTGTGGAGTTTAAGGAGATTTTTATTTAAATACACAGCAACCTTGCAACTATATAGGGAATGGATATTTTAGTGTGTTTTATTCATAGCCTGTTTTACATCATCCGGTAGTTTAGCTAAAATGTCCGGATGGGACGTGCCACTGGCGGTCCCAAGGACTCCACAAGCGTTCGGGAAGCTTACGTCCTTTCCGTAGGTGTAGTGTCGACCGAGAATGTCCGTCAGCACTCCACCTTGAGCCTCAAGTACTGCCTCCGGAGCGCACGTGTCCCACTTTTTGCATCCCGCACTGGCAAAGACGTAGGCATGGGCATTTCCCTCAAGCAATTGAAGAACTTTGTAGCCTGCTCCACCGACTCGGAGCACTTCGTCCGGGGACAGGGCATCCAAGGCTGACTGAACCAGCGCATTGGAGTGAGACCTGGTGGTCGTTATGATGAATCGATCCGTCGGTGGTTTTTTCGGTGAGAAACCTCCTGCCCCGATTCCCTTGACTCCCCAAATAGTTCGACCCAAAGATCCGTTGTCGGCTTTGAAGTATGGCTGATGAATGACTCCTCCAACGGCACGATCGTTCACCGATATCCCAATCAATACTGTTACTCGTTCCAGGAATCCCTGCGTGTACTCGCTAGTTCCATCCAGGGGATCCACCCAGATAACCAGATCCGATTCTTTGACCTGTTTTAAGCCATCCGGGCAAACATTCCGCTCGAGAAATTCGCTGTTCATTTCCGTGACCAACCAATCCTCTGGGACCTGTAAACCAGTTTCAATAGAGAAAAACTCAATTGCCAACAGTTGACAGCTAAATTACCCTACCTTCAAATCACTGCTGCCCTCTTCACCGATTATGGTCACATTAGGAAACAGCCGCTCCAGTGAAGCCACTATGCACCGCTGAGCCGACCGGTCCGCCTCGGTTTGCAAGTCATCCTTTCCCTTTTCCACGATCCCGAGATCACCTTTAGCCATCACATCACAAATTATCCGCCCAGCACGGGCTGCAATCTGGATCGAGCTGGCCACTATCCGCATCACCAGGGGTGCGGTTGCTGCTGCTGTAGCACTGGCCATTGTGTAAATCTCTGTTATATGCTACACCGTCGAGTAGGGTATATTATTTCGCAACGAAAAACGATGGAATGCAAGTGCTGGCAGTGCTGAGATCCGTCCGAGGGCAAGAAGATAACACCAGTGACTGACCCCAACAACTGGCGAGAAAAACTTCACTTTAAGCAGCTGGTGATGATGATGATTTGATGATGATCATTCATTCATTCATTCGCCAGTTTTGCAAGCACAAGTGCCTTGCAGGAAAGTGTGTACAGAAAACTGTGTGGACCGATTCATTCATTCATTCATTTGACCCCAGCTGTCAGAAAGCGAACGATACCGTTATCTCTTTTACGCACAGTCAGATCCGGGATGCCAGTTTATGTGGAAATTCTCAGACACAGGCACACAGATCCAAAGGAAGCCCGTGTTCGAATCCTGATTATCGGAAACCCTTCCAACACGGTTGTTGCCAATCAACCTTTGCTCATCTGCCATCCCGCTCCCTCCTTGCACCATCCATTCGATCCTTTTCCATCTGCCGTTGCAAATTCTCCATGTCGGTGTTTTCGTAGTACTGTCGTATAGTCAGTTGTGTCTGTGTCGTTACTCAATCTACTGCAGAGGACTTCTCGGATTGCCGTTTTGATCCACGACTCCTTCTCCATCAACACAACTAGTTAATTGAGTAATAAGTCCCGGTTCTAGTGATCCCATAGCAGCCATGTCTCGTGTTCTGGTTGGAGTCAAGCGAGTGATCGATTATGCCGTCAAGGTACGTACCTACGTAGAAGATGGATTTCATAGCCAGGAAGAGAAAAAAAAATAATGTAGAACCCTGCACACAGATAAAGCGATTTCCATTTGCTGATAAGAAGACGAAACTAGTAACGCGTTTCTGCCCGAAATAGGCTAACCTTGAATTACACAACAGGTTAGCGAATCCACTAACCGAGGGATGTGGGTACTCTCTTTTGTTCCAGATCCGCGTCAAGCCGGACAAATCCGGAGTAGTGACCGAGGGCGTCAAGCACTCGATGAACCCCTTCGATGAAATTGCCGTCGAGGAAGCGGTCAAGATGAAGGAGAAGAAGATCGCCTCCGAAGTTGTGGCCGTCTCGGTAGGGCCAACTCAATCGCAGGAGGTGCTCCGTACCGCTCTGGCCATGGGAGCCGATCGTGGCATTCACATCGAAATTTCCGGAAAGGACTACGAGCTGCTACAACCCATCCATGTGTCGAAAATCCTTGCCAAGCTGGCTCAGGATGAGAAGGCCGATCTGGTGATCCTTGGAAAGCAGGCGATCGATGACGATTGTAACCAAACTGCCCAGATGACCGCAGCTCTTCTGGATTGGCCCCAGGCTACCTTTGCGTCCAAGGTCGAGAAGACCGGCGACGGTTTGACCGTGGTTCGCGAGGTCGACGGTGGTCTGGAGACGATCAAGACCAAGGTTCCGGCCGTGATCAGTGCCGATCTGCGTTTGAATACTCCCCGCTATGCTACGTTGCCGAACATCATGAAGGCCAAGAAGAAGCCGATCAAGAAGATGGTACCGAAGGATCTCGGTGTGGACACGACTCCCCGTATCGAGGTGGTCTCGGTCGAAGATCCCCCGGTTCGTCAGGCTGGATCGGTCCTGCCTGATGTGGATACTCTGTTGAGCAAACTGCGCGATGGTGGACATATCAAGTAGAAAATTTGCAGGGAAGAGTTGAAGATGTGGTAGTTTCGTATTATTCTTTTGTTTTGGATCGACTTCAAGTGCATTTGTCTTTTTTACGTACTAGCGTGATCGTGCGATCGAGCTGAGGAAAATCTGTTGAGTTATTGCGGTGCAAATAAAGTTTGTAATAAAAATGAAAATCAATGCGTTTCCACTCACTATGTTTTACATTATTGTGATTCAAAATCTTCAAGCGTAAACATGGTAACGTGAGGGTAACCGAGTAGCATAAAAGAGGAACAGATGTCGCAACAAATTTTCACCATTAAACCTGTTTTCCCTGACAAAAGGTGGGAGTTATTTGGAATACAGATGTCAGATGTATTTAGAAAAATTCGTCAATTAGATCGACGAGATGTCTTCACAAATTTGAGTCCTAACAGCAGTTCAGGGACCTTCTCAGAAGCCAAGGGCCATTTTTAAAAGTCAAGAGAACATCATTAGATTTCAGAGAACTTTTTAAAATTAAAGGGTACATTGTAGAATTCATAGTTCACTTCATAGTGAAACTTCGTTGACGTTGGACTACGTAGAATTTCTGATGGAAATGTTCAAAAAGTGCACTAAATTGAGCATGATTGACCGCCCACGGTTGTACTTGTGCTCTGTTATTGCCAACTTAGCAGTAATTACACAGAGAACCAATATACGATGCTTGGTACTAGCAATCATTCTCAATATGTAAAAACTGGTGATCTCAAACTAGACAATACCAGCGCCGGCCGCGCCCGAACGCGGGTCAACAAATGAATGTGTTAAGTTGAGACTCGCTTTGATGGAAACCGAGAAATCTTCTGTACTTCCACGAGGAATCACTGGGGTGTTGAGTACGAGGGTTGGATTTGCAGCAAGATTTGTTTTGGTAAACGATAAGCTGAATTATGATCATATAACGCGAAGGAGCTTGGGATTGAACCCACGGTCTTCTTTGCCACTAGACATATTAACAAATTAAACGATTGACGAATCTTGAATTAATGGCTCAGAGATTAGACTCATGATGTTTGGCTCAGTAAGCAAAAACGGCCGCTCTAAGGCCACCGAGCCCCTCATATCATACCGTACTCGAGTTGTTTTTATTTTTGCAGTCCACAGGTTGCAGCCGTTTTATGGGATCAGTAGTCTGCGCCTGCCCTGTCCAATAGATCCACTACTCGAACGCCAGAAGAGACAACCAATGGTGGTTAAAAAGGCACTGCTAACACGTTTGAATATAGGGATCTATTGGGGTAGCACGTTAATATAACGATTGTGTTAACTTACCTATGACATTCTGGACTTCCTTGTGTTGCTAAAACGCTGTCCAGACTGGAGAGTTATAACATGTTATAACGGTTGTCAAATAATTGCAACACAGAAACCACCATCAAGATAGCGCTGTAACGTGTTATAACTCTGTAGTCTGAACGTACTATAAATCATAGGTTGACTGGGGGTGCTTTGTGGGTTGTTATTGTCGTTGCCTCAGACCGACTTCGCCAGATTTTTTTTCTTTATTTAATAGGTTTTTAGCCTAAAGGATCGCCAGAATTGGTTCCTCTCATATGGGGTCCTTATCACTGACTCCGGAGAACTCTGAAGGAACTAGTTTCACTATCCCAGTCAGAGTCGCTGGTAGTCTCAAATTCCGACTTCACCATGCTACTATACAGATTTTTAGTTGTTTGTTTGAACCTGCTCCTTTCTTGGGCTATAACCTGCCATATTTCAATGTCCTGTCGAATACAGGTTTTCCAGGAATATGCCGCTCTTCCAATTTGCTTGGGTTCTGGTATTATGTACTTGAGTGCCGTTTTCAAAATTCCGGATGTGCCCGTAGTAGTTGAGCCTTGGTATTCTTATCTTGTTGTTTATCGTCAGCCACTCGGGGGCAATGTGGTCACTACTACTATCATAGAGGTAACTCTAAGACTAGAAGGTCCCGAAATAACGTGATCAACTTTTTGGCTCAGCTCTGGTACTCTCTTCGGTCCCAAGCTAATCGATTCACCCCTCGAAACATAGGAAAAACCAATAACCCCTCATTTTATCTGTCAAACTTTCATAGCGAATCAAAACAAACATTGCGTAGTACTAGAATTTTGACTAGAATGGGGTACGTTAATCGTTTGCTTGGGACCAATAGGCTAGTCAAGTAGTGAGCCAATTTTAAATCGTTAGTTTCGTATTGATTGTTGCTACTACTCTCATGTGGACGCTGTTCGTGATGATTGTTTCAGAATGTGTGTGAGTTTGAGGATTACTTTCATTCGGATGTATTTTGGATTTCAAATGAAAACGGTTACTCTTCTGTGGACATGGATCGATTCCGTCTTTCACGAATTTTTCACGAACCTTTTCAACCTAAGTACCAATTTTGAAGCAATTTTGATCGTTCGTCAAATCTAAACGTAAAAAAGATGGACTTCTCTCATCAATGTATCTAGGAAATCTCTCTGCTTGCTGACTCAGCTGCACAGCCTGCTCAAGTTGAACAGGCAGTTTGAGATACTCCACAGGACGTCTTGAATGTCAACACATCCATGAAAATGAGGCTGCTAGAGCAATAAGGAAACTAAAATTCTCGTTATCTGATGACGGAAATCATCATTCTTGTTTCCAGTGTTCCAAAAGTGGGATAAATGATATGTCAGAAATAACCGTGGAATAACCTCCTTGTATGCATGTTTAAAGGTAACCACTCTAAACATGAAGTTTCGGTCGATCAGCATGGATTCTATCCAAAAAAAAAGGTCGATTGCTACCAAACTTGTTGAATTTACCTCGAGGCCTTGTATGAGAAATTGATTAGTGGGATATCTTGTTGATTAGATATCTTTGCTTGCATCTACGTCGTAATGAAAATCCTCAACCGAGTCTGCCAATTATTTCATCCTTCAGTTCCCATTCCGTGTGACTAGGTGCGGAGCGATGTCTTTCTATCAGAAGGCAGTTCATCCGATTTTTGCAGTATTACGTATACGTAACCCTTGGATTCCGACCAGCAGCACTTCGGATTCTTCACAGGCTCAGAATTCAGTAAAAACTGAAATGGAAATTACGATGGCTCCATCTGGTGAAGAATATTGATATGTTTGTTACATTACCTGTTGGTTGAAAGTGTCTTTTTCGATTATTATATGCCCACCTGAGGCCACAAAACTATACCCACGAAACTAAACGACCGGAATCGACGTGAAAAAAATTAAAGACCGGATCAATACAAACTGAACGATTTCTACGTCTTTATTCCGCCTTAGTATAATTTTGAAATCAAATTATAATCAAATCAATGTTTAAATATTGATAAAACATAAAATGATTAATTTTTAATCTCTCTATGTTTAGTTATATTTTTGAGTGTACTATGAGAGATGAGCTGGATTACCGAGGTGAAGCAGTCGGTTAATTTGTGTGAGTAAAACCCCTACGATACAATTGCGTTTACGTTGATTTTTTGGATTACTCATACAACCATATTTCACGATCTGCTGCACTTCTCTCTGTAACTCATTGTACTAGACCAACAATTGAAAGGTGCGGAACAACAAACGTAAACAACGACTTTAAACGCAAATTCCTAAAGAATCGAAGCACATCCAAGCAATCTAACACCATCGTCTCTATAGAGAAAACTTCCTTTATCGAATGGCATTGCTATTTTGCGTGGGAGTGTTTTGATTCTCGAGAATGTTGTGTTTACGTTTGGTTGTACCGCCTATTTCAATTGCTGGTCTAGAATAGTTCGTACTTCCTTAAAAATTGTATTATAATTTGGTCAAAGGCCACAAAAGTGATTCGTTAATTAAAATCCACATAAAATGCCTTGTGTTGTGCCAACGTGTGCCGCCTCCGTGGGCACCTTCAAGGTGTTCCCTCGGCACAAGTCCCTTTCGGAGCGTTGGCTCGACGCAATCCACATAGGATGTGGGGATAAAGTAGCTGATGATGGTCACTTGGGCCAAATGGAAATCTGTCAATGGCATTTCGGAAAACCGGACAATACGATGCCGTATCAGGAACCAAAGATCTTTGTTGACGGGTATGTATGATATGTATAACAAGAAACCAGAGGCTACATTTGGGCGGCTGGCTCTGTTTCCAGGAATGGAGAAGATGTGGAAATCGAAAGCTGTCGGTTGTGTTTACGGTTTTACCCAAGCTGCGAGTTGGTCTCCAAGAATGGCAAACTCGGTGGAATCGACATTAAATCCAACGTTTATGAATCGCTACGGATTGCCTTTCTTGTAAATGATTTTTTGGATCTGGTCTGCACTCAATGCATAGCCCGTGTGGAACTACTGAAGGCGATCCAGAAGGATTTTGTTCAGACGGAAATCAAATTTCAGCAGCTGATCAAATTTTCTCGGCAACCTTTAGTTGAGGTAATCGTAGACCAAGAACAAGTGGAGGTCGCTTTAGAACCAGCTGATTTGGTCATTAAAGAGTTTGATTCGGAAATCCCTACTGAAATATTCGAGATAAAGAAGGATGAAACGGAGGAAAGGTTTGTGACCACACGAACTTATTGGTAAGCTGTTGATGATTGGGTTACTGGCGTCATATAAATTTTGCAAAATTCTACAGGATGGACAAACAACAGCCAGACAAAGAGGATATATCTCTGAGGGAAATCGTATTGAAAAAGTGTTACATTTGCTCAACAGTCCTACCAGACGCTAATGAGCTGGCACTTCATCTAACTGAGAACCATTCAACCAAAAGTGTCTACCGTTGTGAGGAGTGCTCACTCGATATCCCCATTTTGGGAGCATATAATAGACATCTATCTAAACACGATCAGTCCGAGAGACCATTGAAATGTAACTTTTGTACACTGCGTTTTAAAACGTATTTTTTGAGGGGACGTCATGAATCAAGAAAGCACCGCACGAATGCTAAAGTGGACCAGCCTACCGAAAAACCTAGGCCTTCGTTAGTTTGCGAAATATGTGGAAAATCATATCCATTTTTGAAAAAACACATTCAATCGGTACACAGTGAAGATAAGCCTTCATGTAACATTTGTGGCAAAACCTTCACGACAAATACTAGCCTTGAGAGGCACATGCTGTTACATACTAACGAAAAACCGTACAGTTGCGACAAATGTGAAGCCTCTTTTCGACGTCTACTCCTTCTCAAACAACACGTGCAGAAGGTTCATGAAGGTAAAAATCCTCACACCTGCGTAGAATGTAACCAGGAGTTCAACTCTCCTTGTGGACTGTACACGCACAAGAGAACCGTTCATCTAAATAAGACAGCGTACAACACCGCATCGGTACAGGTCAGATGCATCCTTTGTAACGAAAGGAATGCGTCAGTATCCGATCTGGTGCAACATATACAAAGATCTCATGGTAACGAAATCTATCCGTACGCTAAATGTGCACATTGTCCGCGTTCATTTATTACCATGGCACAACTGGCTGCCCATAAGGAAATTCATTCCGACAAGTTCGCCTGCAAACAATGCGGAAAACGGCACAAATCCAACTATCATTTGCAAATTCACATGGATAGTATGCACTCGGATGGAACGCGACACATTTGTACAATTTGCAATGGGAAAACATTCAAGAATATACGCTCATTTCAAAGTCACATGAGAACGCACACCCAAGACAAACGGCACGCGTGTGATTCTTGCGATAAGACATTCCACCGGAGAAGCGGCCTGGTATGTCATCGAAGGTATTGGAACATTTTTGTTTTATTTTGTGATGGTCGAATTGTAAGGTACATTTTTTTATGTCTGTAGGGTTCACACTGGAGAAAAACCCTACGAGTGTAAGTATTGCTTGAGGCGGTTCAGCGACTGCACTTCGTATCGCAAGCACGAAAAACGCTGCGCGGCAGTGGTTGCTAGCAAGACGGATAAGAAGGACGAGGAAATCGATGTGTTGATGAATTTGGATGTCTAAGCGGAAGGAACATTCGCCGGAAGCAGATTAACGGTCTGTGATCGCGCATGGACTGAACTTTTCCTACGTTGTGTTTACGGATGTTTGAATAAAAGACACAGTTTGCTTGACCGTCCTGCCATGGCGGAGGTATTCGAGATACTACTCTATTTATTGATAGTGTATAGGGATACAATACAACACACAGCTGGTAGGGTAGGAACACAGGTAGTGGACGTTTGCACAAACAGTCTGGACGTGTGGTACTTCGGGTTGAGAGTAAAGAGAATATACTTCCGTATACGTCAGTCAATACGTTTTTTTTTCTGCCATCCTACTAAAAAAATTCCACACGCTCAAGGGGCTTCAAGTTTGTATGGGAAAATCGACAAAATCACGACTCTAGCTTTCGCTGTAGCTGGTCGATTTTCTGCGTGTACAAAATGTAGAACTTTTTTAGTATTGGGAACATCTTGGCTGTTATTAGCTTTTCAAATGAACACCACCTGCCTTACTATTGGGGAGGGCCTAACGTGCTAAGGGCCATACGAATAGCAATGTTTACATGGGTATAACTTTCTTGTATCACCATGAAATTGGCTGAAATTTGCACAGTATGTAGAAAGATCTTCGCAATTATGGTATACTGAAAATTGGAACAGATTGACCTGGTGGTTCCGGTTTTAATCCGGGTTTCCGAGAGGCTATCTGAGCGGAGAAAAGGTACCAGTCGTCTAGAGCAAGGTGATGCTGGAAATCCACAGCAACAGGTATCTATGGGTAGTACTGATTAATATTTTAACAAAACCAACCCACAACCTGTGTGTGTCTACCGGAAGGCCATCCGGTGACGTGGATCAACCAATCCTCTGGCACGGCCATTGGTTCTTGAAGCTGCCGTCAGTGATAGCGGTGGCGTTGATGTTGGAATGATTTTAAGCTTCAGTCATACGTTACCATCATCATGATGAGTTTCACCCATCCGAGTATGACCAACCGATAGGACGGTCATTGTTTCTTGAAGCTATCGTGAACTCACTTGCATGCACTACTTTCTTATAGAGCAATAGAAACGCAACTGAAAAACACCGAGAGAACAATTCAAAACACTATTTAATCACTTGATAAATTTTCATCAATACCATAACGTTACCATGGCCGTTCAATCAAACGCATAAACGGAGCTGATACTCGTAATGTTTACAACAGCTCTCAATAACTGCCGTATAATCGAACCAAAGAGCCAAAAAAATCGGCTTCAAGCAAAGTGTTCTTGGATGACTTTTGTGCCACCGGAGTGGGATCAACCATAATCTTAATTATTATGTATTTTTGATCAAAGTATGCCTTGATTATTCTCTGCAACTACCTATATGAAGTGAAGTTAAATTGCGATTTTTGATATATTAGCTGCTCATTGGCTCCGAGTGGTCATCAGATTACCTGCCGAAAGATTCTAAGTTTTCTTTTAGTTCTAGACTTGCGTTGATTTATTTTGTGTTCTTTAAGTAGTTAGACGGTGGAACGTTCATCACTTGTGCAACATTCCTCTGATATAGTTTCCCTGATCATGAATCTTAAATTGTTAAAAGGTTTAAACTGTTCTTCTGATCACTGTTAGTATATCTGTTTCGGTCGAATGTTGTTTGCAGTTTGTAGGCTGGTGGCAATTGCCAAACGTTGTGTCGCCCGTCTGGATATTCGATTCCGTTGCGTAGCGCCTGGAGTCCTCGCGTTCCTTTCCCCTTGGTTTTTGAATGCAATATCACTATTATACCAGTAATCCGAAGTAGGTGGAGTGTTCTCGATGTCCTCAATACATGGAAGCTTAGATCGTATGGTTCGACCGTAACACAGTTCAGTTGGCGTTTTCCCTGTTGATGAATGGGGCGTCGTATAATACATGATAAGATATAATCATTTTGAATTCCTCTGCGTTCTAGCAACCAGTTCGGTCGATAGTTTCACGCTCCGCTATTTTGGAAGTTTTCTTGCTGTTCCTGCTAGGTGGTTTTCGGCATCGTTGGACACTGAGTACCACTTGACCGGGATTTTAAAGGTAAGACCAAACCGAGGACCAAATAAACTGCGCGTTATCGTTAGTGACCGAGGGAGTAGTTACCGAAGCGAGTATGACTCGCGATGATTTCCTGAAACGCAGGGCTGGTGTTTTCAAGAACCGTAACCTATCAAAAATTAAAATAATGGACTGCACTCAGTGTCCCTACCAAGGGATAGGTCAATCCGAACACCAATCTTGGGGCAACATTTTTCTCAGTGTGCCGCAAGTGTACCGCTGGTGTGCCGATTGTGGCGGCAGTGCCGGGCATAGAGCAAGGTTCGATTTTTTTTAAGCGAATGGTATGGTATATTTGCCAACCTGGTATTTCTGACAGCTTGAATGTTTAGGTTTGCAATCGCAACGGCCCCGAAAATGTCGAATATCGTGCTCGATAAGGATTCCTTCTACCGACGAATAAAACGCCTCTACGCCATCTGGAAGGAGCCATAGTTTTCCCACGATGATTCGCTGCAGACGAGGCAACCATCTTCAACAACTTCGCTGAAGACCTCGCTGGTGCTGTGCGAAAAGTCAATCTTTTTCCTGACCAGCAAGAAGAAGGTCGATTTCCTGAAGCAGATCGAGAAGGACGGTGAGAAGGGCATTCCGTCGGTGAAGCTGTTGGTTCGGGAAAAGAACGACAAATACAAGACCAATTTTGAAAAGCTGCTGAAGGCGATTAAGGGATCCAAGGATGGCGAAACGTTGGACGTTTTCTCCAAGGAAAACTTCCCGGGTGAATTCTGTGAATCGTGGCGAGCCTACATCAGACCGTAGACGTATGCAACAAGTACCTCAAGGATCACATCATGGAGATTATGGATGCTGATAAGAAAGTAAAACATGTTAAACTGTCGGAGGGTGTCGAGCAGGCAAAAACAAAAGGTACGTCTCCGGTATGGATACCAACTAGTTTGACATGTGCTACCCGGCGATTATCCAGTCGGGTGGCAATTACAGCTTGAATTCAGTGCATTCAGCGACAAGACCTATCTGCACTTTGGATTAATCATCTGTGGGTGCGCGTTACAAGTCCAACTACTCCAATGTCGTTCGAACGTTGCTGGTTAATCCGACGGAAACGATTCAGAAGCACTACACCTTTCTGCTCAATCTGGAAGAGGAACTGCTGAAGGTGATGATTCCGAACAAGAAGCTCTCGGTGGTTTTCGACGTTGGAATGGTTTATGTCAAGAAGAAGGATTCCAAGCTCAGACGTGCGGTTTTACCATCGGGTTGGAGTTCCGGGAGAATTAGATCGTAGTACCTCAACAAGTGAAATTCGGTTTAAAAATTGTAAGCTAATTAGGTTGAGTTGGACAGTAAAAATTCCGTTCGATTAAGCCGTGAAAATTAGTTCGGTATTGTTCAAATGAGTTTGGTTTGGTAGACGACCAATTGCTTCCACTTAACCTAAATAACTTTTATGGGCTTCACAGCCATCGAAGCATATCCATCGTTGCCCTATTAGTTGGACCAAGAGTTCTTGATTAGCCAGTAATCTTCTCCTTTGAGTTTTCCGTATCCAACCGCCACTGCATGATCCAATCCATCCAAATCGGGGTTGTATTCCAGTTCGTAGTACACTCCATTTTCGTAATAGTTGAAAGACTTGTGACCGGCATCGATAGCAATCGACAGCCCTCGGAAGCCAACATTTCGAATTTAAATGTGAACCGAGAAGTGAATTGCTGGTCTGAGTTCCTCTAGTATATTTAATTAGAGTATGTATCTGAAATACACAGTCAAACAGCACGTAATGTTGTGAACAACTTCAATGACCGCTGTCCAGCAGTGCTCCCATTTTATTTAATGAACAATCCAATGTCTATGAGATTGTGCCGAAGGATGTGCCCAAGCTGTACCGAATCTACTTTAGGCACACTGTGCTGATTGACTTACCCTCCTAGGAAGCAATCCAAAATGACCACGCAACAGCCTCAGAAATATTGGGCTTAGCAGGTTAAATAGCAGGATAAATAATAAACGTAAACTATTTCAATAAACACATGTGTACAATTCGAGAGAAGAATCGACGATAAGCTGCATGTGCGATTGCATAGAAAAGCATATCTTAGTTTTAGAAGTGCCTTCGATTTGACAGCACGCAAACAAGATTTGCGTTGCTGGGTTCGGCAATTGTTGCCCCAAGCATCGAAGAATATTTCAACAACTTGATCCTGTCTCAACGGTTTGGTGAGTACGTCCGCCACCATGACGTAACATCCCCTAGTCTCGATGTGCTTCGCTCGAAGACTGCTTCTGTCCGATCCGACAAACTTAATGTAACTTTGGTTGTCTTCCACGAGGTCTTCCATCACTTAATTATGCATTATAGATTTTATCTATTTCAGCATCGCTTTCACAGCCAACCCGTGCCAATATCGTCCACATAAACCAGCAAGTAGACGCGCTTTCCGTTGACGATCTTCCTGATGTAGAAGCATGGATCAGCCGTACCTTGCTCGAAGCCTAGCTCTACTAGAACGGAATGTAGCCGGTGGTTCAAACAGCGAGCCGACGGCTTCAACCTGTAGATGCTCCATCTCAAGCGACAGATCAACGTCTCCTTGCTCCTTGGCCTTCGAACCCCGTTGCCTGTATCATGTACAGCTCCTCTTCAAGTTCCCCGTACAGAAAATAGGTCGTCTTTACGTCGAAATGCTTCAGAGTCAGGTTTCGCTTTCTCCCAACAACCAGCAGAATCCTCAGCGTAGTTTGCTTTGCAACAGGGGCAGTCACCTCATCGTAGTCCTGTCCGAACATTTGACTGAACCCCTGAGCTAGCAACCGCGCCTTGTACTTCACCACCTCGCCAGTTGCGTTCCGCTTTAGTTTGAACACACATCGGCATCCGACAGACTTAGGACCTTCAGTTCACAAGATCCCATACGTTCCATTTTTTATCTTTATTTTAGAGATTTTTAGCCGAAGTCTAGTTCATCTCTTTGTCAAGGGAAAGATGTCTCAGAAGGAGAGCCTCAAACGGAGTTGCTGAAACAGAGTTTTCTTACTTAACGTTTACAATACATTAATTGCTAGTTTGTTTGTTTGTTCCTGCGGGTGGACACCGTCATGATGGTCGACGGCTCACCCTATATGGCGCCCCACCGCATTCTAAGGCTGTAGAGTACAGCCTTCCTGGCTTTTCATGGGAGTAGGAGAAATGACAAGTTAAAACATTGATCTGAACCGTCACGAGGTCCAAAGGCTCATCCCGTGCGGAGCCATCCCGACAGCCGGAAGAAAACTAACAA